TCCCTAAACCTATCCCTTTTAACCCCGACCCTAGCCCCAACCCTAACTGGGAAAGCGTGGCTGTTGTGCTTGAATATAGGAATGTTTGTTACTGTGAAAACAAAACAGGCATTAATTAGAGCAACCTTTGAAAATAGTGAAAGAAAAGTTGAAAGCGAGGTTAACTGAGACAGAAAGGTGCATTTTGAGGGTTTACATGAAAACAATTTAATTGTAGCTGTCATTGAAATAAAAAGTTATAAATTCAGATTGTCAAAATCTAACATGTTCTTTGACAACCCATCTTGCATCTTTATCCACTGTACATACCTGTTTCGCATAGGGCCTATCCTGTAGTGTGATGGATATACCTTTATTCTCCTTGTTCAGAAAATTGGGGAAATGCTCCCTTTTCTCCGACAATGATACCTCTTTCGAGCTGCTTTTTTATTATAATTTCTTGAACTATTCCTCTTCGTTTTGCCACTGATGACTTCCAAAAACACCTCTGAACTTGTCCAGTGGGAGAATACGTAGGCCTACCTATGAGGACTTGTGAACAAAACAAAATCATGTCCACACGATGCAGGATGAGAATACGTTCGCTGGAATTACCTATGTCCACATGACGTTTCCCCTTCACTGATAAAGAGGTTTAGAGGCATTTGGGGGTTAGGGTCATTTTTTTGTAAAAGGAAGAGGAACAGTCAGGGAAACATTTTACAAAAATCCAGCTGGAAATCGTGTTGGCAGTTCAGGAAATATGGGTATTTTCAAAGAGTTTTCTTAATTGCTCAAAAACAAAGGAATGTCCACACTAGGCATGTAACGTAAATTTGGGTTTTTGGACGTGCACAGGTCTACATGCGTCTTCCAACTCTAAATTGTGTGGACCTCCTTTGAGCGAAGGTCCACGCGGCTCCATGAAAGTTGGCCACGCTTCATTTTAACACATCCATAGAAGCCAAAAATTCTTCATGGCTCATTGTGATTTATAGGTCCGCGCAGGCTATTTCGGGTTTATTTACAGGTGAGCAAACCTCTTCTATTTTTTGCAGAGGAGTTATTAAGCTGCCATAGATAATAGATTTAATGATAAATGACCCCACAAAAATCTTGAAAATGCATGTACTCACAAGTTTATCGAGCATGAAAGAGACGTATAACTGAAGCCCTTTTTCATCTTTTATACTCTTTTGAAGTTTTGGTGGGTCAACCAGTTGCCTTTGGACAACGTTTCATCCAAGTATGATCATCCATAACAATAGTGGCGTGAAGTTCGTCGCCATTATGTTCAAATAGATTCTGATGCTCCATTGCAACATAAAGCCCTCAGGGCCTCGTTTGGCTTAAAATTCTCAGAAATACAAGTTGCCAGTCCTCCTGGTGGCTCCAACCTTCTTTACAAAATTTTCAGTGCTGGAGTCACAAACAGTCTGGTAGCAGAGAATTTGACAGCAAGCAAAGAGTGAATTTTTGGACCGTGCAGGCAATTTCGGGTCTGGTAAGTGGCCTGCAATGATTGTGCAATCATAAGATTTCCTGACGTGTCCCATGGTGACAAGGGCAGAGCAAAAAAACCTTGGACCATGTATTCAGGTCACCACTCGGATCAACAAGTGTTATCGTATGCTTGTTTATACGAACAAGATGATAAAAAACAAGTCCCGGGGCAGGGAAAATGAACAAATCTAAACAAATAAAAACACAGCAAAAACTGTGGTGTTAATCTAACACTTCCAGACGGGGGTAGTTTTCCCATAACAAGGGTGTTAGATCAACTCAATTCAACACCACTTTTCTTGCAGTGAGGTAATCTCGACCACTCTGGCATTTCGACTCACATTTTTATTTTGAGAAGCGAGCAGCGGTGACGTGCTCTGGTTTATTTGGGTTATCCGTAAATAATAACCGATAATTGAAGTTATAGCATGAAAATCGCTTCAGTTTGCTGTTGAGACCAGCGGGAATTGAATAAATTTTACATTTCTCTAAACAGTTGTTGCTGCTGTAAACATTTCAAGGAATTTTATTTATTTTATTTTGTGCTACACGTTTACAACAATTTGGTACTTTTATTTATTTATTTATTTATTTATTTATTTATTTATGACAATAGATTCAACGATTGGCACTTAGGTTTAATCAACGAATGACACTTAGGTTGAATCAAAACTAAACTCTTCGAAAGTTCAGCGGATTTTTATCCAGCGGAAACATTTTTCTCAGATGTGACATTGATCAAGTTTAGGACAGAATAACGGGCGCCCGACGCAGTTTCATCTCCGTTCCCTTGAGCGAGTACTCCCTGCCGGGGTACCCGTGTCCAGTGTAAGTGGTCCAGGTCACCCCCTGGTCGGTGCCCGGTGAGAGGGCGCCGTGCTCTCCTTCCTCAGGCAGGTACGGCCCGTTCGGGTCAGCCGTCAGGCAGTAGTTGAACCAGAAACCACCCCGCATCCAGTTGGCGCAATTGCCGCCGCTGGCTCGATCGTTGTCGTGGTCGATGGTCGTGAAATCCATGCCGTTGTGATAGTCAAGAGCGTCACCTGTGCATGCACCCAGACAACACAGATATAAGCGATATCATAGACAACAGTATAGCGTACCATGCAGACGTCAAAGGAAACCTTTCTTGGTAATTATTTTATATGCCTCAATTCCTCCTTAGAATTTTTTTCAGTGCCGGGTGTGTCTATTGTTTTACTCAACCGAACCCACGTCAAACACTTAAAATGTTTTCATCTGACACAACCGTAGAGTAGACCGTGTGTGAAGTAGGATACCGCCTGTTAGCCGACTTTTTCTTGTCGGTCTGCTGAAGCACAGGCTTGCATTGACCACGAAGAAATAAATTAGTATAATAGACTGCCTCAAATGACAAAACTGTGGCACTGTGAGTGACTTATACCTGCTGTGGATTCCTCAGCGAAGTTATCCGCCGTGAGTGTAAACTCGCTGCCTTGCACCGAGAAGTCCAAGTATTTGGCGAAGGCGGTGTTGTCGGCCCAGTCCCTGATGTCCACACGCAGCTCCACGTTCCCTCCGGATCCCCCGGAAACTTGCCCGGGTACAGTCAGCAGGACCAGGTTGTCGTTTCCCAGCCAGAACTCCCCTTCCAAGTTCCCAAAGCCCTGTCTGTATTCGTCCCACGTCCTCTCAAAGGATTCGGAGCCGTCCACTCGGCGCTGGAACACCTTTATATGGAGCATGCAGAGAAAAGAATGCTCGGGAATGCCGGTGTCCATCATATTTGCTATCTCGTGAAATCTCTTTTCTTTCCCCTGAGTGACTCTCAGTCTCTCGTTATTTTTCGTGACTTCGGTCACTCCATGCACGAAGTCAGTGGGTCCGTTTATGTCACTGAGTCCGGATTTTATGCGACCATCGGTGGGTATGAAACGGACTTAGGCCTAGCCGAAACTTCGCATAAGAAATCTCCAGATGAAAAACATAATTCATGCAGGGCATGTGCATAAAGTTGCCGTTATCCCCCCCCCCAGATTATGAGAATGAATTGAGAGCCGACTATGCTTACGATCCAGCCACCACCGTCCGTCTCCTGGTCGCAGTACACTTGCATTGGATCGGTACTTTCGGGGTATGCCGGGTAAATGTCGTACAGGCCACTCTCACTGAATCCTTCAGAGAGCAACGCCGAGCAGTCTGAATACCAAATAAATATTATATCATAATTACCGTGTCCACTGCATGTTCTCAAAAGGACTGAAGGCTACCAACATCTCGAAATATTTTCATATTGTAGGCCTTTTTTTTAAATAGGTGCTGAATCAACACTGAGATCTGAAATGTGCTGATGCTATAGCTCGGCGCAGCCAGTGAAAATACCGTCTGGTGTTGCTGCTGCTGTGCAGTACTTGCACGTGTATGTGTGCTTCGCTTACAAGCATAACTGTACAAAAGATACACTTGAAAAGGACAGGATAGCGGAACAACAGCCCCGTGGAACATGCTCAACAAAGCCTTAAATATTTAAGGGAACAACGGCCTGTGACTACAACAATTAACCATCCGAAATACAACCATGTCATGAACAGATGTTGCATCTGCCGTAGCCCCCCCCCCCAACAATTTGTCATGAGTGTCTCAACCCCAACCCTCTACCCCGGTAGGGGTTTTTGCTTGTCACCCTAACTCCTCAATCTTTCAAAACCTCCGGGAACTCCAGTCCGATTGTGTTGAAGCAGTGTGCATGGTATCCTGGAGCAGTGTGGAGGATGTCACATCTAACGTAGGCATGGGCCGTTTTCCAATACTCAACTTCGGCTCCGTCGGAGACTTCAACTGCTTTTTTTACTGGTTGACTTTGAAGCTGTAAGCGCGCAGTAATTAGTCTAATAGTGCCACAAAACATCAAATAAGATGCAAGAGAGCCAAAAATTACAGTAATCCAATGTTATTTAAACGCTTCGGGGATTGGTTTTAGGAACGAAGCCTGAGACGGAGACGAAGTTAAGTATTGGAAAGCGGCCATGAATTTATGCATGGCTGAGCTTTCGGAAGGGTGATGAGGAGGGTTAGGGTTAAACGTACCTTCATAGTACACAGTCTCCGGCTCCGTAGGCTGCTTGTTGGTACTGTCCAGCAGGTCCTTGATGTTGCTCAAGCGCTCCTGCACCCACCCCACTGCCTTCTGCTTCTCCGCCGAATCCGTGTACTGGGCCACCTTGATGGCCACCTCGATAAGCTTCAGGACCTCGCTGGTGACAGCGCTCTGGACGGCCTCCGGGTTGGAGGGTTCAGTCGACTGGTGTTTATTGCCGTTCTCAGCGCGGATGCCGACCACGCAGCAGGCAAGCAAGAGCAGCATACAAAACTTCATCATCGTACACAACACCAATTACCAGTGGCTGTCAGAAAGTGGGTTTTTCGCACAAGCGATGTTCAATGAGGTAGACAGTGGGTCCCTAGTGAAAATCACACCATTACATTGATTGATAAGCCAAGTACAAGGTCTGCTCACGCAGCTCCGGTTATCGAATGTATATTGCTTCCAAGGGTATATCAAAATAGCATGTTTACGACGACAGTGTGTGACCAAGGTTTGACTTATCTTTGTAGGTGTGTTTCCATTGTCCGACAGAGGCCCTTCGCCATTTTCATGTGTAATTCCAAAGTTCATACACAGCCATAATGCCTTTCTTTGATGTTGTCAAATCTTTTTGCAAAATAAACATCAAGACCTTTCGTTATCACAAGTAAATTCGAAAAGTCGATAAAACATGCGCAGTTTGTACCGTCATCTCGAAAACTCTGTAATATCAAACGACCTTATTTTAAAAAGGCATTTGTACTTTATAAACAGATCAACGTGTTCTTCCGATGTCTGGATATTTTTGTCATTGCCTACCACAGGAATTCGATCTGAACTCGATTATGGCTTCGATAATCTCAGGTAGACCACCAGAGTCGTCAATAAAACACTCGGAATAAACTGCAGGAACACTAACACAACGGTACACCTCTAAACACAGTTCAGGAAAATATTAATGATTCTTTTGCCCAAGCCTAAAGTCTGCCAATTTGTGTCACGATGATCGAAAAAAAAACTCCCAGGCAAAAACAGACGCAAGCGCTAAGTGGCATGTTACCAAGGGGGCGCACTCTGTCTTTCGGCTTTGCAGATTGCAACACGGCAAAGATTTGGGGCAAAGTCGAGACTCTGAAAAATTGATGGTTTAAACCGGACGAAAAGTCCACTTCCCAAGGGAGAAACAAAGCCCTGCGGGCTACAGGCCTGCATGTGCGCATGCCCGACACTGTAGTCCGAAAAAAAATTGTACTTTTAGAATTGTCCGATTTGGAGATAAACTGTGCTTTGGTTATAACGAGAATTGCAATTATATAGTGCGAGAAAAGTACACTACGAGGGAAAAAAATTGAACACGTTACAAAAGAGTAACAGGTGATATACAAGGTTCAAAATCCTCCACCAGCGAGCTCAGCAATCTTAGCGATCTAAGTTCAAACATGGTCCGTAACGCGTGTGCTGCGCCGCAGCGCCAATGCTGGTTACACGCCAAGCGACACAGGAGAGTTCCGCAAACTACGAATTGAGAAAAATCGCAATGGCTAACCTTACGGAATTTATACATTTTGCGATGAAGGCCCTACAACCCTTTTGCTCGATTGTCTTGAGACGGGAGCGATTGTCTAGTCTGGTTGTCATCTATAGTTCAGCCAACGGAGGCTGTGGCTTCAAATAGGCCTAAGCTAAAGGATCAAAATGGCCAAGAAAAGCTCTGAGCGATGATTCTCTGAGGAAAACAATCAAACTGTTACGCTAAGTAAACGGAGGTTTCGGAGCTTGAGCCTAGGGTCATAAAAGATTGTAAAAATCGGTCAGTAGTGTAGTAGGTCTATACCTACCTTTCTGGATTCAGGTCTTGCTCAAGCAACGAACATCAGTGTGAATTGTAATGACACAAAAGCAATTAAGGCTCTTATAAACGTTTGGGCAAAATCCAGAAAAGCCTTGATAATAGATAGTATAAATAAACATGTTAGCATTTTAGCTTAATTAACCTTCGTCTGTCCTTCCCGGTATCATCAAGGTCAGGGTGCTAATCTACCAGTGGCGTAGCTAGGATTTTACCCGGGGGGAGGGCAGCAGCATCTTATGGGGGACACCAGCTTTCCGTGGTGAGGTTTTTTGGGGGAAAGCTTTTGTTAGCCTTGTTCAATGTACATTCATCCATTAAATTTGCCACAGAATTGTTTCAGTATTGCAAATTATGATTTTATCTCATTTTTAGTGAGGGGGGGCACCGAGAATTGGGGGGACACGTGTCCCCAGCCGCCACCCCCCCATGTAATCTACACGTGTGATGTTTGATCAGTCTAACCTCAATGCAATGGCATTGAGATAATAATATTTCATCTTTCCCCTTCTGACCTGGAAGATACACATTTCTATGAAAGAGCAGGGGATGCTCCTCCGCAAGTACGAGACTTGACTATAAGTTTTATGGGGCATCTGTGCGAGTCCTTTCTTTTGGAGGCTTGAGGTAGTTTGGCCTGCCGTTTGAAAACTTGGGCACAGAATTATAACGCACTGGAGGATAAGCTAGCAGGCGTTGCGCCTGAGAACGAACGTTGGTTTACTGAAAGGGCGCCCTCTCCAGGACGGTAGCCGTTTATTATAATAGTCAGCGCCCACGATCAATCAAATTCAAACGCTATGTAATGATCCTGAGAACTAGGCACAGTAGAGTACTTCATCTTCCCATCGAAAACGTTTGGGTGTTACTTCCGAACTGAACTTCGTTTTCACGTACAACTTTGCGTATGTTTTTATCATAAATTATTCTCAATCACCTCAATACAAAACCAGTAAGTGTCAGTAATCCTTACTTTTGGGCCATTCTGTAAAATCGGGATAACTGTTTTCAGCATATTCAGTTTCCCCACTTAACCGATGTGAACATAGGCCCGTAGGCGAAGGCCTAGTTGAGTAGTTCCTACTAGTTTAACGTTCGACACGCGACATTCAATGTTGAACAAGTAACCATTTGATATTCCATCGTTGACTAAGCAACTGTTTGACGTTCTTACACGTTATGTCATACACACCCTTAGAAACGATGGAGTGTAAAAGGGACAAAAAACAAACTGCACTTTCATTTCTAATTCTGGGCTTGTTTGAACACCAAAAAATGGCAAAATAAAACGGGCCATTCCCTAGGTTGCAAGGTGGAGTCGCTGATTGAGGAGAACAATGACATTAGATTCAATGTAATCTCCTGGCAGAGCGTGGGGTTTGGGTATCGTATTTTGATTTGAGAAACGTGTGGTGGGATGTATTTACTCTCCTACTCTGGTTTGCAAGACTCTAGGCAAAACCGTTTCAACTGTGGTTTGTTTGACATAAGTATTTGACATAATTGAACTCTCTTGGAAATCAAATGTTTTCTAATCTGTGACTGGATAATCGCCAGGTCCCATATTGTTATTTCACCACTTAATGTGAAACAGTAGGTGGACCTATTGTCAAGTCTCATCGATTGTCACATTACGTGGTGAAATAAGGACCTGGTGACTATACCGTCATGGACGTTAGATTTGCAAATTCACATGCCAGGTAGGTGTGACAGGGACACTCAAGAAATTGGACCTCAAATTTATAAAATGATCCTTTCAAAGTTTAAATTTTTGATTTCTTACAACAGTAAGGTGTGTATCACCTTTCGGTGAAAAATTAGGCCTAACCTAGTCTCCGGGTCAAAGTCTTCCCTTTTACACAACTGAAAAGAGGAGATGTTGGGGAGGATTTGCCAGAATATGTGAAATGGTTACCCATTTTTAGTTTGGAATATCCAGTGTAGTCTCCCGACCTGGGCCTTGGGTAGATATTTTGAGCTGACCCATTTGGACTTTTGAAAACAGGCAGGGTCCTACAAGATTACCCCTGTGGCAAAAATTGGAGAAATATTGAGTGCTACAACATAATCAAGAATAACTTGGTCATGTTTGTGAATTGGGCTAACGTTACATGTAAGTGTGGTTGTTTTCCCAGGCTAGGCTAGCCTTTTTTTGTGGTCTGAAACATAAGCCCGAGGCTTTCATTGACCATGTTTACAAGCAAGTTGGACTCTTTGTTGGGCATTTTAAGACCATAATCTCTCTGAGTCCCGTGAACTAGTCTGGAGGTTACCCTAGCTACCTTCATTGTGCCATTTTTGTGTTCAAAATAAAACCCACTGTTCTTTCTTTTGTCAGTTTGTAATAGGACCGAGCAGGTTACACACTAATACAAGATGTCGGAGCGAAAAGTACTAAACGTAAGTAGAGACATACTCGCCTGATACGAGTAAAAGTTGAAGTGGTAGTCAAGGTGGATTACAGTTAACAGAACAAATGAAAGTGCAGCAGCTCAATTATTTAATCGCAAACATTTTCATTTGCTTGTTCTGGTTTTTTTTTGTTTTTGTTATTTAATTTTTCTTTTTAAATTTTAGTTGTGTTCTTGAATTGAACTTTTTTTTTTTTAATTTTTCCAGAAATACTACCCGCCGGATTTTGATCCGGATAAAGTACCTAAGCTACGCATGCAGCGGGAGCGGCAGTATACCGTACGCACCATGGCACCCTTCAACATGAGGTGAGCTGGTCAGGTTTCACTACGGATGACAAATTGAGAGACCGGGGGGACATTTGGACACCATTTTGTGCCCAGCATCTATGTTAATAATATGCTTCCCAGAAGTGTGATACGACTGAATGCATGAAGGATTGCTGGATTGAAGGTTTCACCTCAGAAAATTGTGGATTTTTTTCTAAGGTTTGCTTATTCATACCTTGCTACTTATTGTGTTCTTCGCACCCTAAAACAAAAGGTTCAAGATTTACACAATCCTCGCAAGATTTACGCAGTCCTGGCGATTTGGGAGAAAATTTGCATCTTGAATAGCCGTTCAAGCCCTGAATTTCGCCGTCATTGTTACAACATCTCTGTTGGGATTTTTCTTCATTCTGCCATCTCATCCTTAGCTGCAGATTTTTAGAATTTCTTATTTGTACTCTGTGCCAGAGGCAGGCCATCAAGTGGGCACACGAGACATACCGCCCAAAGGGAGATCTTTGCTCTGGTCACTTGTTAACAAATGGAATCTGCGGGATACCAGCATGTTGTAGAGAGTTTGTTTCCCGTAGGCCGGTTGTAAAGTTTTATTGTCTGTCTCCACTCTTTGCTTCAAGGTGTAAGACTTGCGGGGACTACATCTACCAGGGGAAGAAGTTCAACGCCAAGACGGAGACTGTCCAAGACGAGACATATCTCGGCCTGCGTATCTATCGCTTCTACATCAAGTGTCCCAAGTGCATATCTGAAATTAGCTTCAAAGTGAGTACAAGTCCGTGGCCGATTGCTCCACAAAACTCAGAAATTCTAGAAGTGAGTTTCTGTGACTTTCTGTTTTTTAAAGTCAACTCTGAATGGGTGCTGGGACGGGTGGCGATAACTCGGTGGTTTTGTCCTTTGAGTCATTGTGAGCATGATGTGGATTCGTTCTCATTACATTCTCCAATTTCTACCTTGGTCATCTGAGGAATTTAAGAAATATGGTACTGCAGAACCCGACCATTACCTCTGCATGCTGTGCTTATAACGTCCCATGTTGTTTTGGCTCAAGGAACGAGCCATCCATTTCAGATGGGGGGGCAACAGAGGCAAAATAATTCTTTTTTGTAACAAAAATGAGAGGCAGACAGTTTTTTGGTCTTTTTTCATTTCGTTTCCTTCTTAAAAGCCCCAAACTTGTTCCCTCGCAATGGAAGCCCCGGCATCAATTTAGTACGGTAATGAACTTGACTTTTGGAGACCTTTGCCGTAAATCTCCGTAGAAAAATTCAATTAATTGATCCTTCCCCCAGACCGATCCAGAAAATGAAGACTACACCTTAGAGCACGGTGCCACCCGGCTGTTTGAGGCGGCCAAGATGCTGCGGAAGGCGACAGAGCAAGAGAAGCGAGAGAGAGAGGAAGAGGAAGCCAACAATCCCATGAAGGTCCTGGAGAACCGCACCAAGGTAAGGCGAGATGCTGGGGGGAGGACCTCAGACGATGGAGGATGTAGCTGTGGGCATCACCGGGGGGGGGGGACGTGCAAGGGAGCAAATGGAAATCATGGGTGGACATCACCAATTGCTTGAGAATACCTCAGCATCGACCCCCTTCAAGGCTTCAACCGTTGTGGCTTGTCAGTTTGCTGCTGAGCGTTTCCCCCTCCCCCCCCCCAAGGGTTTTATCCTGTTCCTGCAACACCCATGACTGGCTCTCATGGAAAGGTGCCATACACGTTTGTGCTCATTCAAGTGAAAATTAGAAATTTTCTAGCCTGTGGCATGTGTTCATGAAACACTAAGCACCTGCACTCTCTCCCGCACAGAAACCTCTAATTCCCCCTCCCCCCAAACTCCTTTTACCCAGGATTCCAAGCTGGAGATGGAGATCATCGAGAACCTGGAGGAACTCCGAGAGCTGAATGCCAGGAAAGTGGACGTGGACTATGCCGAGATCCTGCGTAGGAAGGCTGAAGCAGAGGAAGAGATGCTGAGAAAGCAGGAGGAAGAGGATGAGGCTTACATCGCGTAAGTCAGAGATTGAAATATTCCAAATACTTGGTTGTATTCCCTGAAAGTGGAGGATATCTCTTGAAAGATATCTCTGATCTTAACCCTCTCCGTCCCTCAAGAAGGATAAGTAGAAAAAATTTGAACATCTTGGCAATGTATTTACCCAGCAGTGGCAATCTCTCTTAACCCCATCTCTCCACGTTTTTCACAAAACAATGAATGACTTTTGTGCCACTATTAAATCTGTAGTTTGGGGAAGCACAACTTGGGCTGAAATCAGTGATGACATTACTCCGTTCTCCTCTCTCTTGACATTCCCTTGGGTAGGGACTTCCCTACTGCCAACTACAAGTTAATTTGACCTTTTTTATCGCTGTCATTCGTCACCTCAGTCAGTTGTTTGGAAAGCAAGACGGAGGCTTGATCAAGAGGTTAGAAGATGACCCGGATGAAGACGAGGGAGCACCATCGTGGCTGCCTTCATCCCAGAAAAACACCTCCATCAAAAGACCGTCAGACGTCTTGACCAGTGTCAGTTGAAATCCTTCCCTCAGCCTTCATTGTTCATTTATTTCCACAGTTTCACATACATACAATCTCAATTTTCAAACGCTATATAAATACGGGGGGAAAGCCATGGAGGTACCCACTAAAAAGCAAAGCTTATGATTGTGGGCCCTTAAAGCAATTTATAGTTACTATTAATTAATTACCACACACAAAAGACAAACAGTAGACAGACATGACGCTTACTCTGTATGTCAGTTAAAAATTACCTAAGTTTGAAAAAAAAATGAAAATAGGAAAAAGGAAAGAGAATAAACACCCTGGGAGATTTTAGATAAAGCTAATCAATTCCACATTATTAATAGTAATCATGCGCACATGGACAGATTTCGTACACCAAGAAATGTTGGTGTCGTTAATTACACAGGACGTGTAGAACTGAATCTGTCACTAGCAATTCTGAGTTTTTTCAGAGGACTTTGTACAGTAGAGCTTGCACCTTGAGACAAAGAGTTGGACGTTCATTCTGTCATCGGGCACAAAAAAGAGCCAAAATTGGAGATTGGAAGGTAATCTGGGTTTACCCCAGTTTGGACACTCTCTTCTCTTTTTTTATTTTTTTGATTGTTTTGACACTTTGTATGTCTTGTCGTTTTCCAGGACAATGATCCTCCAACAAAGAAATCCAGACCAGAGCAGACAGGGTCAAAGTTCAGCTCCAAATCAGCCCTCGCTGCATTGGTCAAGGTGAAGAGCCTGCAGCCAGCAAAAACAAATCCAGGTTCAAAGGATGCCTCCTCAACGGACTCTACTCCTACACAAGCTGACAATATTCGTATACGACCTCTCACGAGCGAAGCTGGAAACGGGGAAGTCTCAGTAAAAAAAGTTGCCGAACCAGTGATTGAGCCTGCAACCTCACGCCAGTCATCAGCAATAGATGTGACTCAGAGCTCCAGTCACCATGATGACCATTGCCCGGGCAACAGTCACCGTGACGACAACATCCCTGAAGTGGACAGCGACCAGATCTCAAGGAGCATTCAAGAGGGTCTCGGCAAGAGGCTTGTTAACACTGACGGTGGACGAGATGCCAGACCCAAAGCCAAGTCGGTTGGACTGAGCCTCCTGGGTGGTTATGCTGTGAGCGACGATAGCGATGACAGTGATGTGTCCAGTGGATAGAAGTGTCCGGTGTTCACACAAAAAATTTTGCCCTAAAAAACATGACACTTTCTACCCTACTTAAGTAGGATAATCAACCAAAGCCCGTCTCCTGGACCCAACAGCGTATTTCACATATTTGGATTATGAGCATGTGTAAATCCCTTTCACTCCGGGAATCCATTGTCACTGACTTTCTCTGCTTACACTGTCATTGTAGTTTCCGTTTGAGGGTAGCACAGCAACAAATTGACCTATTTAAGTGACACCAGAGAACCGATATCTTTTGAAACCTTTCTCTCCCACTGTCCAAGAAATTACCATCAATAATTTTTACATGTTACAGTGCCCAGTGCACCTTAAATCATTTGTATGAAATTGGCGCGTGATGTTATTATCACTTGGTCCAATGAGTTGCAACCAATGCCTGACACTGGTGGTTGGGTGCTTGGGTACCCGGTTTCAATGCGTGCCCGTACATTATAAGCAGTGCGTGCTGCTCGTAAGCTATTGTCATTAGTTTGGACGAGCAAAGAGAGAAAACAGACAGGTCACACCTGATCAGTTTTTCCTGGGTAGTTTTATTTCACAGAATAATACAAAAGCAGGGTTGATATGAAGAATGCTAATTGAAATGTGTCACTGTTTTAAGTCTTCACTGTTGGCCTTTCCCTGTAGATGTCTTGATGGTTCACTTTAATTAATTCATCTTTTTTTGAGACTCGATACAACTCTCTTGGTGACCCAACTCAAGTATTGAATGCATTATGGCAGAGAGCTCTGATTATGGACAACTGTGTCGTAATCGTAACATTTAGCAACTACAGTGGCTAGAAACGGCCAGAAGGAATGTTCTTTGGGCCATAAGATGAGTCTCGTGTTCGACTGTAAGAGGACTTTCTCTTTAATAATATAGTTATAGCTTTGAAGAAGTCAGCAGTCTACTTGTTCTATCTTCATTTTATAATCAGAATTCAACTCAAAGGTCACAAAATTTACTTCATTTGGGGAGTGCTCTGGGCACACAGCGCTGGGCTGTGAGAAAAGTGTGGTTGCTTGAGGGATGAAATGAGCGCAAATTGTTTAAAACAGACCAAATGTGCTAGGTGGACAAATTACGCCAACTTGCGCCGATGCAGAATTGGTGTAATTCCTAGAGGACTTCTGACCTCGCCAAAATGCGTCCCCTCGGGGAAACTACACAACATACATTTGAATAAGATGTAACCGGCAATCGTGAGTGGAGAGATCATCATGTCTCCATGGCCTCCACGGCGGTGTCGACGACTTCGTACTCCAGTGGCGTCACCGTCTTGGTCAGAACACCGGTGGTGCCTCGCTTATAGCGGTAGTCACCTTGCCTGCAGCAAGAGTAACGCAGAAATCGTGTAAAATTAACCACTTTGAAAGCACTAACCACCATCATACCGGATAGTTGTCGTGTTTTGCTGTGGACAAATCTAGCATTCAGAATTTAACGCCATTACTGTGGCAGAAGTACGCTTGTACACAGGTCGTATGCACGTACTACATGCCTCTCTGACCGATATGGGCAGGTTTGGACGACAACCATTATATGAATCAAGAAAAGCTATTGTCCATGACCCAAAAGTATTCAAATTTGCTGCAGAGTAGTACTAGGGTGACCGGGCTATCAAATTTAATTGATGGCTATGGATTTGCGCTGCCCGTGTTGCACAGCGCCCTCACCTGACTCCCTTGACATTGGCCACATCGTAAGGCCGCAGGTAGTCCACCTTGTCCTTCTTGATGACACACAGGTCCACGTTGGTGCCCGAGCCCAGGTCGTTGAAGATGCCGGCAGCGATGGCATCTCGCACCAGCTGCTTGGCCTCTTCCTCCTGCGGGGAGGAGTAAAAAGAAAAAAAAGGCGTGTGCCCTTTAAATAGAATGTTGATTGCCTCAAGTACTGACTAGGTGACAAAGTGCCCCTCGTCCATCAGAAGTGGATGACCTTTAAAGGAAACCTGCCCATCTGCTGAGCTTGGGCCCAGTTTCACGGAGCTGCTAAATACAGAATCATGTAAGCGCTTGATGCATTTGCTTAGCAAAAGTAGGTTACCTGCCAGAATGCCATGGATTGTATATGCTGTGTATTGTGACCGATTCCCAGCCATTTTTTTGCTTACTTTATAAACCTGCAAAGCATTACTTTCTACTGAGCGCCCCAATCAAATTGGACCCAGTTGGATTTCTTGAAACCAAAGGCCACTGTTAATATGTGGGAGGGAGGTTATTTTAACAAAACCACTTTGAGGCAAGTTGAGGAGATCAGCCTAAGCTACGGTCTCCCATCATTGTTTCAGGCATTGTTTCATGAACGTAATCCCTGGAGACATGACCCTGGTCATGGTCAACACAGCTCCACGCTCTACAGCAAAATGAAACTATGATGCAAAACCAACACTGCGAGTATCTTCTCGTGTTTTCCACAGCAAATTTGCCAAATGATTGGGCTGCTTAAAAAGAGCTTGTGCCTAAACCCACGCCAAGACTTGGAAATGATATTGGAAAACTATTCCGGAAAGGTGGTCCATACGCAAATCGCTTGACTGTGGCAGGCGACGGGGCAAAAAAATCAATGAGAAATGCATGTGTTCTTCCCAGCGGTAGAAGAGGCATTCAGACACCGCCCTAGGCCCTAGTCCCAGCCCTCACCTCCATGTCCGGCTTGTAGCGGTCCTCAAACATGGCCATGGCAGCCAGCGAGCCCGAGCCCATGGTGGCAAAGGGCAGCTTGTTGGAGGAGCCATGGGGATAGATGTTGTAGAGGTGGGGACCCTTCACGTCCACGCCGCCCAGCACCAAGGCTGCGCCGATGTAACCCTGGTACCTGGTAAGGACGGGAAAAAGTATCACGGTACAAGTACTGGAAATAAGCCAAATCAATGTCCTCTCAATCCTGACGCCGTAGTTACTTTTTCTTGATATCTTCTAAAATCTGCATTTTCTGTAACCGATGGCAAATTCTCTTTAATGCTTGCATTAACCTGGCCTTCCAAGGAGTTCAACCAATTACACTGAAACTCAAGGTTTTGGAGCTTGTTACGGTTACGTTGAGAGTAAAGTACAGCCAGAGTTTATCAGAATCATGTAAAACCACTTGTCCGGTTTTTTCAATACTTGTTAATGCTGCATTTCTTCAGTTTGGGTAAAAGATGCAACGTCACAGTGTACGGCAACCCCACCCCCACCCCTGTTGTCGCACACGTCTCACCTGAACAGCTTTTGCTTGAGCATCCTGTTGGCGGTGACCACACGCACCTCACGGCCCGTGGACAAGCTGTGCAGCTCCAGGTTGGAGGAGATCAGTTGGGTGGTCACCTCGGTATCCGCTGCAGTGCCTGCCCCACAACAGCTGCAGACAGGTGAATCAACGGACAAACATTTGTCAAACGGTATTATAGGTGGCCGAATCTCACAAAAATGAGCCTCAAATGGTCCAGTTGATGGATTTTCTTCTAGACACACATTTCGCACGTCTTTATACTCTTCTTTGATGTACGAAATCTATTTGACACCCTGTTGGAGTTAAGTTATTGAAAACCAAATTGCCCTAGCTGTTCCAGACACCGGAGGGCGCTGTTGTTGTGATGTCAATCAAAGAAGACACTGTTCAGTTCGTATGCTTTCCATTCATATTGTGAACCCAAAATTTGTTCACTGAAAGCACCTCTGAGAAAAGGTTGCTTGTTGACTTGTACAAGAATAAATAGCCAAAGAAATGGAATTCCAGGACAGCAAAGTGCAAACACTTTCTGCCGTTTTGCACAGCATAGACCTTTTAAGGCCTCTTTTTAGTATTTTTTAGGTCATTTTTGTTTTATGTACCACTATCAAAGTTTGGTTTTGTGGAGAGTTTAGACACAATTTGTCTTTCTTTACTTACTAAATGTTGGGTGCCAAATAGTGAATCTTTGAACAATTCTTGTCGGCGACAATTGTGTCCTCTGTCGCTCTGGTGTCTGCACCAAGAATAACGCCATCCTGATGTGGAAGAAAGCAGTACTGAATTAAAGGACAATTCCAAGACAAGGGCCTACTCTTGTTAAATTGCACCATACACCACTGAGCGAAATCCTGCGAAATGGAACCGCATGATGAGGTGCACTATTACTGTTACAAAGTCATCGTGACTACTTTGTATTCTGCCACAGACTAATGTGCTGAAATCAGTATTGGATTGGACTCCATCACGAGTCATCAAACTTTAGCCAAGTCAGGAGCCATTCAGATGACTGTGACAAAAGCATTCCTTTACCACTGTGCAACCCTTTCACTTAGGACTCGTGACTGGACTTGTGAAGGGACTTATGATAAAACGCGACTTCTGCACCATTTCAACACTAGTTGACATAACACAGATTGAACATTAGCTGTGTCATCTTATAGTTTGACACAAGTGAGCCTCTTGACTGATTGTCCTAGAAGCCTGTACCTTAAAGATGAGCCCAGCTATTGTGGTTCCTGTTTTCACTCCTTTCGGAGCCTTCAATCCCATCCTTTCAAGAAGTGCATTCCTGTATCAAAACAATGCGGCAGTTCTTAAACCAGTTGTTAAACAGCCAGTCAACGGCTCCACACAGACTAGGCCTAACCTTCAAGAAATTGACACCAGGTCACGACGGAGTCAAGTTGAACGTAGTCTCGTACTCGTCAACCTGTATCCTGAGCCTGGACAACTCATGCCCCAAGTAAATTGTAGTGTAACTTCTGTCAACTTCCATTCATTTGAGATGGATTATATTGGGTGGGCGATCCTTACCTTGGCTGGTCTGTGCCACACTAGTGGGCTGGTGGGGCTAGGCTGGACTTAATCAAGCCCAAAACCTCTCGGTTGTTTCCACTCAATTTTGTTTAGAACTTCATACGGCTTGCATATAACGTCCTAAAAACACTCAATGCGCATGCGTCAAGTCGGAGAATTTGGCATGTTTGGAAGCGAAGAAACGAAATAAAATAAATAAAAATGGAGACAGGTTCACCACTGTTCACCATCATGACCACGTTCACCTTAGTCATTAGCATGTTAGCCTGACAACATCCTCTAACATATACATTTACTTTTGTTATCGCAATATTCCAACGGAAAAAGTGCATTTAATTGTGCGAATTTCATTAGAATTTCGAAACTGGCTTACCGTCTTGTATTTTCGAAGACAAATCCACCTGATTGAGGTTCAGCAAGTAAGGCCGCCATAGCTGATTTTTGCGTGTAAACTGATTAGTCACGACTTTCAACAGAGGGCGCTACGATACTAACGCAAGAAAGTTTACAGAGGGCGCTATTCTACAATACTGTAAGAAAATGAACGGTAACGCAAACATTTGACACTTCTTCAGTACGTACGTGGCAACACTGAGATTCGGGGGGGGGGAGGCGAGCGGGTTAGCGGTTCTTTCCTCGCTTTGCATCGATGAGGCCCGGGTTCGAGTCCTTGGCCCAGGCTTTAAGTGCATTTGGTTTCCAGTCCATACTCGAATCCATGTTTAGCCACGGGAGACCATGGATTCATATACATGGATGTATAGTGGAAACTGAAAATTAATGTTAATAATTCATTGTTTTGTTCAGCAAACATCCGTTTAGGTTTTACAATGACCAAATGTTTATTCAAAAATAAGATGTTGGCGTTTTTACGACGTAGGCTCGAAAAAACAAAAAGTAAATTTATAACATGGGGCCTAAATTTTATAGCTAATGTTACCCCACCCACGATTCTTGGATCATATTTGTTTTCAAAACGAAACATTTCGTGGAATAATTTTTCAAACGAGTGACAAATTTCAGATATGAAAACTTTTCCCTTTTTTTACATTCTAAAGTTTGTTTTATTTAAAGTTCGACAAAATGTTGGCACGTGGTTGGGTTTTCTTGCCATGCTGCCAGAGCTACATACTTCCCTTTATAGTTAATGTGCATACATGCTTAGCGCTAGCATTCTCAAATTTTCCAAAGTCGCTGCCCATCACATGCACAACACAAGTTGTTTGGTGCATTTTCGTATGTGGCCGTGGTTCCGTGTGTTTGCATTTCCAGAACTGTTAACCTAGTACCTAGACCCAATAAATTCCACTTTCACTGCCAGGAAAAGTAGCCATTTTGAAAATGCATCCCTCTGCAAAATGGCTAGTGCCACTTTCGGACCCGATTGCATCCAAATTGCTCAGAATTGGAAGCCTTGAGTCCGGCCCAGAGGTCCAGTCTCATATTTCTTCAATTCCTCAGTTCCATGGCTCTCAGGGCCCTCTAATGTAGAATATTTTGAATGTATAATTCGGCCGACATATTTCTGGCCTATATACGTGGGTGCACCCTGCAGAGGCCAAATCTCGAATGGGAATAGTTGGTCACATTCTCATATGGGTCCAGCCTAAGGATATCAAAGAGTTGTGCTCATTTTTGATGCAACTAAAATTTCTGTGTACAGGTTTGTTCAAGTTGGGAATGACAGTCACACCGTATGGAAACAGACTCCGGTGTCAGTCAGTCAGTTGCTGGAGTTGTTTCCTCGCAATATGCCCTGTTGAAAGTTTCAGCTATCGAAGAACATCAGGATTTTCTAAACGAGGAAAGTAAAGAAGAAAGAAACGAATGCCATGCATGGTTTCAATTTTCTAAGCCGCCATTTTTGCCTCGGTGGCTCCATCTCTTGGTCTAGCGAGACTGGGCCAGCCGCCATGAAATCTTTTGATTCTGTAAGTTTCTTGCTAATATCAAAGGCCCTGAAGCTTATTTTTCTTCTTTTGACAATGCGAGGATAAGTAGCCTGGTACATGAACATGGGTGCCGCCAGGATTTTTTTCACAGAGGGTTGACTCCACGCATTTTTTCCGGGGGGATTTCGGAGGAGGGTTTGGCAAAGCACTCATTAGCAACAAACTGATCAACAGTGGAAAGGGGTCAATTTCAAAGAGTTTTCTTTAATTTTTCCCCTTGAAGTCTCTACTTTTTTCCAGGGAAGTGGGCGAGTGTCCCCTTGTCCCCCTCCGCAACGCCCATGCGTAAAGCCTGGTTTCCATATCGACGTAAGAAACGCACAGAGCAACGCAATCAAGAAGCAAACTGCAGCGAAGACATATGGAAACATGTCCAACGGAAGTATCGCCGATAACCTAGACATAATGCAAACCAGCCCCAGACAGATCGGCAAAGTTGAGCCCGGTTCAACTTTGCCGACTGTCTGCGTTGAGTCGCTGAGTGGGCATATACAAACACGCTGGCATGACGGGCGTACAACAATGTTTCTCTCGCTTAGTACCACTCATTCTGTTCATTTTCTCCTTATTTCTAACATATGCAGCCCAATCGTCAACAAAATAGCTAACCATTAACAAATTACATCGAACTGGAGTATCAGTCTGGCTGCAAGAGGCATGCAACATTGCCATCTAAAAAAGTGCATTTTTCCGAGTTTCGGACGCCATTTTGTTGAATTTTGTGTGGAATGACGTCTTGCGGACTGTCTACGATACAAACGAATATGGAACAGGCTTAACCTGTAGGGGTACAGATACAGCCTCGAGCAGAATCACCCCCTCATCGGTTGAAGATTGCCATGCTGGTCGGGAGTGCTCATCTTGTTCTTAGCGATGCGACCGTAACACGTGCATTTCATATACCGTTTGTGATCCAGCAAAGCCCGCTTCCTACCAGAGGAGCCTGCCTTGCTTGGAAAACCGCGCCCTCTCTTGGTCCAGCTCGGGCTCATAGGAGGTATTCATCTCTGTTGTATTTCGAGGGTGCCCTCATCTTTGTAAACTGTTCGTGCAGTTCGCACCCCGTGGAATGCTGATGTTGACTTGTAATTTATTTTCAGCTGTTACCAATAACAACCTCCAATCGATTCCATCAGGGTGCGTAAATATGAAACTATAATTACTTTACCACCTGCGAGTGTTGCAGCTTTTACCTGTTAATTGGAACAATATGTATGTCATCCGGTACATTTGGGTAAAACTTCAGCGCACCCTCTATTTGGCGATTTATACTGTGACAAGAACCTGAAATTATAATAAATACCCATATATATTATTATTATTATTATTATTATTATAGATACCCATATAACTTTTAGTCGTTTGGTATTTTTTAAACACTGACCACCCCAGACAGTTTCGATTTATTATTTCACAAATCCAATAGACTAAGAGTCAACAATTTCATTCTGAGCGAGAACTGATTGTGCAGTAACAAGTTTATGACGTGTCGTAGCAGTCATTAAGGTTTTGGGTAGGGCCTATACATCATTGTTAACAAAGTTGTGCATGTTTCTGACCGGCGTCGTGCTTGGTAATGAATAAGCCACTAGCAGTTCGGCATTTCAAAAAGCAAAGTCACTCGAGAACAGAGCACGTGTGTACAAATCGGGTAAGGTCGCACTGATGCTGATATAGGTAGACTGCGAGCGCGCGTACTGCCGTTCCCGATGCGTTGGGTTTCATTTGGGGTATGGGCGGTTGGAATACCGGATCATCAAAAATATTTAAACGTGAGGATCTGTTGTACGAGTCTGAAAACACGAACACTCCACATAGTAAAGTGCACTTGACACTGGATACTCTGGTCGGGCTGCGGTTAAATCGAAATAGCGCACAGCGGGGGAAAAAGTGGTGGCCCGTTTGAGCACCCGTATCGGTTACGAATCCTATGTCGTTTTAGTCCACAAAGTCGACGATCGTCTTGGCCTTTGAAAGTACTGGCATCTAACAGGAACCCACCATCGTAGTTATAAACCACCCATGGCAGAGATCTGATTTCGCAAAAGGTACAAATTTAGCGATCCGCTCAGGGACAAAGTTTCTCTCTGACAAATTACCGCGCAGTGGTCAACTTTCTGGGTAGGCCTATATAGAATCTCCCAGACCCCCTGTTGGCACACTTTCATTTTCACCTGCAAATACTGTAGATGAACCCGGTAAAATGCTACATATATCCCCCGCCAACTCGCTGGGTCACGTCGCGATTCTTTAGGCCTATATGCCTCCAGATGAAAGGGTGGTATTAGGCGGCAGGTATATTGCAGAGAAATGCAATTCTGTGAGGTATAACCGCTACATTTCACAAAACAAATTGAGCTTGAAATCAGTCACATTCAACACACGTCATAATTGGGACAATTTATCCAGTGACCTTTCTGTGAGCCCTTTTCTGCTGTGCGCAGCAAGCTGGCGCACATGTACTTTAGGGATAAAAATAGTGCCAGTCACACATTTCGTACCACGAGAGGCCTTGCGGGTGTTAACCCGCTACATATATACACACAGGGGGCTACACAAGAGAAACCCCGTCCTAACTTTGCTGTACAATTATTTCACAAAGGGCAAACTTATTCCGTGCATACAAATCATTCATTTGCATAACAAACACATGATGTACTGCAACCAAAGATGAGCGAATTAGTAGTAATTATTGCAACGTCAAGTTGACCCCCCCCCCGAGAGAGGCAGCAATTTGCGCAGAGCTAACAGCTCAACCCCTTTGCTTATGGCGGCAATTGCTGCCCACTTCCCTGGGCGACCTCGCCGCCAGTTTGTTGCTTGAGCATGCGCGTGTCCGAGTGCGAAACCAGCGACAAAACTTTCTTCGGTGGGTCACGGCGATGTCAGAGACCCTAAACGCAGACATTTAATAAAAAGGTAAATACAGGCCACTTTTAGAGTGTTTTTATGAATTTCATTGGTCCATTCTTTCTTGGGAAAATATCATATGTCGCACTCCAATACACTGAGCTTCGTACGTGGTGAAATGGTACGTATAACAGCAACTAAGAGACGAAACGAGAGATTAGAACATTTAGTGGTTTTTCCAATTACTTAAAATAATGACGATGCAATCGTGGGCTGCCACTGTAAATTTTGGCGCAGAGGAATTAAGTTTGTGGAACCGAAATTGACACGACCGCAAAATTTGTCAGTCAGAGCTCACACTGTTTAACAAGGGAAAAAAACCTGCCGAAATCACGTAAAACCGGTCTCGACTCTATGCGTGTTATGTTGACATATCAACGTACCAGAAAATTAGCTTGAATTAATGTAAGTTCAGAACAAGGCAAGGGCGAAAATCTTGGGGGAGGCTGGGGTATATCATATTTTTTTTAACCGGGGGGAATGGGCTCTAATATCAGCCCCCCAGATTCTTGAGCCTAAAAAGCTAATTCTGCCATGTCTTGATCAACACTGCTGGTGTTTCTGTCTTTGGATTGAAACAGATCACAGACTGTGTCTAGAGATTTTGAGTATAAAGAGCCCTGTGGCAGTCCTTAAGCCTTCACCAGTTAGAGAGGATTGACGACTGTCAGGGTTAGTCAAATTTGACACTCCACTTTGCTCATTTCATCATCCACCACTCACAGTGTAACACAGATAAATTGAACTATTTGAACATGAAAGACGGCTCGCATGATGTACAAATAAACGTAAAAGCAAGCACCTCCACAAGGGTACGGCGCGTGAAGTGTTAGGCACGACTAGTCGGTCTGCACGATTAGTCGATCGCGCTCCGCGATCGGTCGATCTTGTAGGAAAAAATCGCACCATCCTTTTCCTGCCAATAACCATCTCCCCACAAGCACGGATTACAAAGATGGCAGACTGATCGTCAGGTCGTGCCATAATATATTTTAAATATCAACCAATAGCAACCATCGATCACTTGAGCAACCAACTTTTTTTCCAAAAACCTCTTATATATTCTGTCAACGTACGAGTATTCACCACGTGGATTCAGCAGTTGAAGATGATTCAATCGAACACAGGAAATCCCGTGCAATTCACCACTGCCTCAGATAAAAGCCAGTCAAAGATCGAGGCTGACGGGGTTGACGCCATACGGCGTGCAATGTCAAAAGGACCTATCATCGATACCGTGGACGTGCTGGAAGCACGTTTTGCTGGGCCAGACGACGTCAACCCCCCCCCCCAACTGTTGACATCCATTGCCTTTCTCGAACCAAAATAACGTTGTGCAAACATTTTTAGCCAAGTTATATCTGTCTCCCCCGCGTATTATGTTGCAAGATTGGCCTCGCGGTACCGATGGGCATAAATGTTTCGTCAACCAGTTAAATATTAGCAATTACTAAGTAGCAATTTGTAGTAGAATCGAATCTCTGAATTGAAGTTCACATGGCATTACACTGTATTTCATATCAGTTTGACATTGGTCGGGGGCCGACATAGTTCAAAATTTGTATAAAGGAGGTCCAATTTGGAGAGACAATGAAACTGCATAAATAGGCAATAAGGGATGCCTGCCTTACCTTTGCTTAACCCCTCTTAAAGCCACAGATTTATGTTAAGTCGTGTGTCATGCTACTGTGACACATTTGTTTAGAATTACAAAATATTGCCGATATGGATTGGCGCTATTGAACATTTCCGCTTAGCCCGCTGGGTATAAGAACAGGGAAATGTCAGACGATGACGCGGAGAATCCGTCGTATCTCCTGATTGGTCGGTTGTGCGCCTGCCGCGTGCGCACACATGACAGCATTGGGCATCTCGTTCCGCTGCCCTCTGACCCCCCTTACGTCGCGACTGCTGACTACGCTGGTGACGGGACGCTCGCGAAGGAAAGGAAGGCCGTGCCGGGAAAAAACACCGGTCGAGCCATGTGTCTGCAACGTGTGCTCGGCGCTACAAGTAAGTGACCACGGAGAGGAATGTCTTGTCTACTGGAGGCACGCAGAACAAAATGATACCGGTTTCTCTAACCCTGCGTCTCAGCTGTTGTCGGGAACGAGATTTAACACTCCCGTTTGGAAATTGGACTGTCTGCTTTGCCTGCAGGTGCAGTGCTACTGTAATGAGATGTGAAACATGGTGAGATGGGTAGACGAGCACCCGCCACAAGACTGAATTCAGTTGAGCCCGGACCGTGTATAACCTCGTCTCCAAACGGCGACAGTTTCTAACTCGCCGCCGCGGTCAAACCGTCAGGGCCACGTGTGATCAACCGGGAAGGGGCATTGAAGGGTTGTTGTATACGGCTAAATCAACCCGAAACCCACAGGTGACTGCACTTGTTTTTCTGCCCGGGAAAAAGCCCGATGACGTCTCGCTGCACGACGTTGGTCCCTCGCGTCAATCTTCGGTGACAGTATTTGGATGATTATTGCATAACCTGGAATTACACGATGCCTTGCGCGGTGAGACGGACTGGAGGTCGAGCCTGGTACCTTGGCCGTAGGCATTGACAAGACAACGCCTTGGCGTACACCTCGGGAACCATTATCGGGGTGTCCTTTCCTGTTGGTTTTTTTTCCTCTTTGACGCCAACGGCCAGCTAGCTTTGATGTGAAGTGCGAATTATTTCAAAGTGAAAGTCGACAAGCGGCTCGTCTCACCTGAACTTAGTGAAAGGGAAATAGTATGCGGCCCGACCTTGACCAGGATGAGCGCTCTGAGGACGGGAAGGCGCTGGTAATGGCATAACTGTTTGGTAATATTCTCATTCGTATAGAGCTGAAGGTCTTGTGTTGCAGGGAATTTTTTTTTTCATTTTGGAGAATGATAGAAATGTTGTTTATGCGCAAATGATTAAAATATTGCCCATTTTTGGCATGGGGGGAAGGGCCAAACTCATTTCCAATATTGATATATGAGTTGATGACGTACACTGTACATGACGTACACTGTACATGACATACATGTACATGTGCGTTTGGTAGCATTATGAACTATACACTTACAATTCCAGATTGTTTCAAACCATTTTACCACTTTCCATACCGACGATGTTAAACTCGTCCGTCGTAGCCATGGCCGTGGCGCAGTCTCGTTAAAATCGGGCGTGACGATTTATATCGAATTTACACCCTGGGCAGACTCGGTTAGAAGTAATGTTAATTCAGCGACGATTTGACACGTTGTCAAGCTTAACAAGGTGCATTCCGGCGGAATGGGGTTAGCCCCCATAGGGCCACTTCAAGTCCTGATCTTACATGCTACATTGCGCTTTAAATGATCTGTACGTTCAGTGCTTCCGTTTTCTTCGTGGTTTCTTAGGATATAAGGCTAATTGTTTCCTTCCTCTTTTGCACCCTGCTTCAAAGTCACCCGCGTTGCACTGCGCGCCCGGAATGCACGCACTTGCCGTGCGCTTCACCCGATCCAGTCACCATGCGTAATAATAAGCACTCCTGGCTTTGATACGGCAGTCAGTGCCTCGCGACGGTCGCCAGAGCCACATGAAATTTAGGCTCACATCAGCAATTTCTCAGAGTCGAGCCCCTGGGAAGTCAGCGGCCCTTGCCCAAGAGGGGGCCCACAGAAACAGCAGTGGCGTCATGAGCTCCATCTTAATTTATGCCGTTGCCTTATTGACTGTTTATTTATGCTTTTGGGTGTTTCACTGTGCGCAGTTTTTTTTTATATACAGGATACTCCTCAGTTGATACTGCGAAGATCACATCTCGGTTATTTTCTGTCTACGTGGATCCCAACAAAGCGAGCATGAGGGAGAAACGGTTGCTTCGAAAGAGATCATATATCATTTTTATAAAACTCAGAGCTAACTGAAATTTTAAAAAAGGACTTGCAAACTCGATTGCGCGTAGCGTAATGGTTTCTTCGCAGCAGCTGTGTCACGCGCGACAACGAGGCGATTTGTTCGAAGGATAATCTGTACTCGGACTTGTGCGACGAAGTTCAATTCAAGAGCATCATTGGACTTGCAGGCGTCTTGGCCCAAGGCGACTTGCTCCCAAGCTGTGCCTGGCTGGATAATTTCGTTATTTATTTCGTAAAAAACTACTTCCAGCGTCAGCCGCCACCAACTCAGAAACTGAACGGGCATGCATGTCAAAACTTAGACTTTTTTCAAGGGCTTTGACAAGAAACACCGTTGTTCGAAGAACTAGAAATCTGTGCCTGACTAGTTGACCGGCCATATTTTTTTTCTCCAACTTCTGTCCCTGGAAGGTCACTGCGACAGCTGGCCGCCAGGTAACTGTGCTGTCCCTACGGGACAGTGGTAGACCACAGGTGTTCCGTCGGGAGTCTGTTGATATTTTAATGAGGCATTTGATTGTTTCTTTTAGGAATAAACAGTTGGTCGCCCCAGTATTATTACACCAGACTGAGTGGCCTACGTGCAGAGTTATGGGAAATTTAAATAAATTATTGAAACAAAAGCACTTTAGCTTACGGGTTTTTTTTGTAATGCTGCACATTTGGATTTGCAAATATGTGTAGAACCAATGAATACATATTGACTACGTGCACTGACAGGTTCTTATCTTATTTGAGCTAGTGTTTCCGACCTCAAACAATTTAATAGCCTAAGACGATGACCGGGGCGCCAACAAGCACGCACACAAGTTGCAGGGTTGAAAATGGGATCAAAACATTCTAATAGTCATAAATCATAATAGTCAAGGGTCTTGCGTAGAAGCTCAAATTAATAGTCACACGAAAACTCTGAGCTGAACAGAGCTAGAGATCGAATCAACATCACTCCTTGTACGCCGTGGACGACAAGTCTTAAGTTAAAGTACCCAATACCAGTAAGCCTAATTTCAAAAACAATGAAACTTGTGTTTTTGCTTCAGGCGCGTCCACTGCTTGCGTACAACGAACAAAAATTTTAATGGAAGATTGTGCAAACAAGATAGGAGTTTTTGGCATGCTCTGAGTATGAGGAATTTGTGTGTCGGTGTGCCTGTTTTTGTATGTCTTTTTCCTGGATTCCTCATCAGTGAGGCGGTATCGTCGTAAATGAACCAGAATAAATTAACTGCCGCTGTCAGTATATTCGGCATAGTTAACGCTATGTATACCGAATGTATAGCGCACGTACGTACATGTATTTATCAAACTGGAACCACGAGGCTGCATTGCCCTTCATGTAATTGTTGAGAGGACGAGAAGGTCGATCGTAGTCTGTCTGCCGCAGTTCACTCAGTGACTACATGTACAGTACATGTATAAACAGTGCGGTTAATGGTAACCATGCAGGCAACCCCGTATGCCCCCGTACCTTTAGTTCACTGCAGGAAGCGATCACGACGCTCGCTAGCCGAGTTGAGTCATATCTTTTTCTCTCTCTTTTGCCGAGGTACTGCAAGCTGCGTGTCAGTGACGGGGTCTACCCCGACCTTGGCCGTTTATACAATTGTAACGGTTAAAATGATACGCGAAAATAGCCGGGGGCGGCCGGAGGGGAAAAAAAAACGAAATGAGCCCGTTGACACATGGGCTCGGTATTTCGGGCGGGTTTGTCGTCACAGTTCATAATTGCGTCCGGCCACCCGACGATGCTTTCAACACCCTGTGCCTTTGTTGCCCCAACATGGTTTCGTTTCTTGGCATGAGGTTTATTCAGGTTTCCTGCTACTGACAATTTAGCAGAGTTTTACCTCTGAGAGGGGACGACAAGTTTTGCTTTTTTGCATACGCGAACGCTACTCAATTTTCAAAAAACGTGCATGGACGTGAAAGCATCATGAAGCTTCCTGGTGAAGCCAGGTGATCGATCTACAACATGGCTGTCCTCGATGCAAGTTCCCAAGGGAACGAATTTTTTTTTTAGATCGATGTTACATAATCGAATGTCGAGGATCCTTTGGGTCGTAAATCTTCGTTCTTAATTTCGTTGCCAGCTGCATGTGAGTAAGCATCAGTGAGTGGTGCGCGAACTACTGTGCAGTGCAAACCGCGAGGAAGACATTTTTTCCTTAGCATGAAAGTTTGTCATGCAGGTGGATGGCATGATGCTGCAACCAAAATAATAAATGTGCAGGTCTCTTACGGGAACATAAAACACACTCGTCTGCTTTCACTGTGAAAAATCATTAAAAAAGTAGTCGGAGTTTGGAGTTCATTTTTCATATGTCATAACTAAGTACAATGACATTAAAGCAAAATAAACAGGGATGGTGACAGATGAGGGTACCAGAAAGATCCCTGTATTATACAAAGCCTGGTCACGTTTATGAAGTGTAAATAAGTAAAGGTAAGACAAATGATTTGAAAAGAATATTAATGATTGACTTAGATAAAGCAGAGAGACTAAGGAAACGGTTCAAAGAAAAACTACTTGTCAAGAGGAACAACCAAACATGTTGCTCTTGTCGTTTTAAACTTCATGCATTATGCCTGAACGATTTTTTCTTTTAAGAAAGCGACGAAGTGCTTATGTATTTTGATTGTTTTGATATTAGCTTTTGGTGCAGTAATAGAAATGTTTTGCAGGTGGCTATCGTCTATGATAACACGTGTCGGCCTTTTCTCCTCCTCGTCTTTTTGCACGATCGTCCAACCCAGCCCCCTTCGGGCCAAAGTAGGCCAGATGACCGCTTGGTACATCGGCCCGGCGACCTCTCGTTGTTATCCCGACCCAGTCAAGTATACCTACACCGCAAAAGGGGGCCAGTACCGTAACAGCGGGAATCGGTTTACTCGTCAAAATGCCCGCACCAACAATTCGCGTCGTCGGGGTGTTGACTTCGATTTTTTTCTCTCTCGAGGCGACGACGCATTACACACTGATATAAAACTTAACGATGGAGGGTGAACCGAAGGACAGCATATGTTATGACATTGTATTCCCAATTATGTTGAGTTGAAGGAACTGATTTTGTGCACCCTGTATCTGACACGCTATTTTCGTGACGTCAAATCCGCCTCGCTTTCACATTTGCCCGTATAGTACGAACCGGCCTTGATGTGAAACGACAAGCCTGAACCTCGGCTCAATCGGATAGAGTGGTACTCACACAGAATTTAACTCGGGTTAGAAAATATCTTCTTAACTACACAAACAGCTTACGTATACAGAATGGAATCGTACCTAAAGCTTTAGGGTAACCAGCCGCCTTTCCAAGGCCGCGGGGTCCAACAACGAAAGGCTGGTTCATATATACTCTGCCGCCTTGCGAATATACAAAACGCGAAATTATAAACGCCACGTGGTACATCAAGTAATTCGTGCTGCGAAATCGCAAGGTTGAACGCATTCCAGCTTGAGCGAATTTCGCGCAAAAGTTTCCTGACGTTAAGTTCGCCTCGCTTTCGCCTTCAGCTGAAGTATGAGCCTGCCTCAAAGAAAGATAATAACATGGACTTATGTTTATGTGCAATCAGCTAATTTAAAATCGGTGTACCAAATTTTATTCACTTCTAACGTCCGCAGTCCACCAATGTTTTGCAACCAGAAGTGTTTATAAGGGTACCCCTTTTAAATTCTGGTGTTCTCACCTCAGTACACAGGTAGAAACAGAGACACTCATGTATGGTACTCAATACAAAAACAAGTGACAAGTAGCCTATAGATAGTGCACTTTGACTGGTTTATTCAATCATATGGCAGAAGCATGAATTTTGCTAATTGGAAAGAGAGATTAGAACTTGGAGAAGCATAGAATATAAAAAGGATACCCTAATGTATCCCCTCCCCCGAGATCTTGTCCTTCGAGTCAACCCCGTGACGCCTGCCAAAAGGTGAGTTGAGCGCAATAGATTAGATTCGCATTCTCAATAACATCTCAATTTGGCCGGGGCTTTTAGAAATCTCCTTTGCCATTATCACTCACCGCACGAAAGGAACGCCCCGTGTGGTTTGGTCGCAGCCCGCTCCCACTGCATGCTCCGCCCTCGGTCTAACCCTGCATTGAATACATCGAGTCAAGCTCGGGTCATCCCGGCTGGAAGTGCCGTTGTTTAGGAGCGTGCTCGCAATCTCCAGTTTCATCTCGAGGGGCGGTTGCCCGTAGGGACCGAGAAAATTCGTTACAGAAAACCTAAAAAACCCACATCGCAAAGGAGTCATATTCTGACGAGTGTTGTACATGAACAGTGTGCCTGTGTCTACATTATCTACATTATTTAAATCACCTGAGAGAATCAGAATTTTACCAAAATGAACTGTTGTATAGTATATTTTTGACGAGACACGTTTTTAGCAGATGAACTTGAGTCTCTAGTTCGTCAGGGTTGTTAACCTGCTGCTTCACGTGATAAAATGCTTTTCCTCCATACTTAGACTTAAGGATTGCGCAGTCTTCAACCATTTAACTTGACCAAAATTGTTACAATGTTCTTTGTGACCTCTTATCTGAGTTCTTGAAGTTTGCTGGATGCGCACAAAAAGAAATAACACAGAGACAGCCTTGAAACCTGCATAATGTCGTGTAAATGAATTTGGCGCTGACCCTTCGAAATTAGCTTGCTTTTGGTGAGACACTATTACTGTACTCCAAGTCACTTTTTGCGTGTGATTTAGGAATATGTACCAAACACGAACGGGTTCATTAAAAGAGTGCAGTGGCTGCAAAAAAAGTGGAATCCTGAGTTTGAAACGAACAGACTTCACGAGCCTTTAAGCAAGTCATCTCAAGTTCAACAGCCAATTAACAAATTAACTTTCAGTTCATTGTCAGTGCAACCCAGCTTGGGGCTCGTCATCATCATCAAAATACTCACCGGGAGCCGAGGCTATCTCGGTCCCCAAATTGCAATAGTCCCCCGCCCACCTACTGTGTCTATTGTCTTCTTTTGCCTTCTCATCATGACGGACGGAGCGTAAGAGATTTAAAAAAAAACTTTCATAAATCTTCCATTGAAAGATAAGTGGAGTTGAGAATTTCGTATTTGACAAAGAACTATTTTTTTCCCTGAAAAACCGGCCTCTGTCCTTGAAAATATCTCTACCACAAGCACGAAACACGTAAGCTCGGAAATGGGGAAATATTTCTCATTTCTGCAGTAGGTAGTTGCCTAGTGGGGGGGGGGGTTGAATGATTTTCTCTAAAAATCGTCCTCATGACGTACACTGCTGAGGTGTAGAGCGATGCTTCCCTCTGGATATTAAGGTATACTTGCAACCTTAGATTAGAGTGTCTTACCCATGACCTTTTGGTAAATTCTACCACGATAATGGACTACTCCTTTATACTACATGTATAAAATTTCATTGACAACTATAAACGACCTTGGCAGTAAGGGTCAATTGGCTTTATTCACTAGTCGGCCATATTGAATTGAAAGCGAGATTAACTGTTTTTATTTTAGGAACCTGCGAGTAAACATGAAAGCAAGAAAGTTCATCACAACTGAAGGCATGGAACCCAAACTAGTCTGGTACCACCCATTTAACAGATTACATTGAATAAGATTCGTAGAACACGATCCAAATGGCTTGCTTGTAAATAGGTCCGTAGTTTTTTTATTTTACTATTTGGCTTTCTGTCGTCCGTTTCAGTTTGGTGTTTGGGGAATCGTTAATCTCCGAATAGCAGACCTCCTCCGAGATGGTGTGTAGGTCTTTTAGTTGCACTTTCCCCCAAACAGCAGTCGTCTTGCCGTGCTGCAGCAAAGACTGATGACGTTGCAAATGAACGACCTGAACTCTGCCACCAACCTGGTCTCCTTTGATCACAGCTGAGAGCATAGATTGCGTTGCTACGGGCAACCAGTATTTTTCAAGAGCTGCTGTACTTTTGCTCACTGTGGCAACATTGCATTTGTCGATCGAAATGCGGTGCAAATTAAACGTGTATTCGTATTACTTTTACATGCGTTAAATGAAATGAAGTGATTGCTTAGTAGTAAGACCAAACTGAATAATCGCCACCAGTTAAAAAGTAGTACCTCCGAAATGGCGAGGATGGCAGGAACGTACAATTTGGACAGGCATGTCGTTTTTTTGTTTTTTGTTGGTTTTTTTTTTTTTTTTTTGGTCCAGCTGCAACGGCTCTCCCTCATTTAGCGCGCCCGTAGCCCGTCCCGCCATCCGCTTCACGAAGAACTAAACGCCGCAAGTTACCCTCAGGGAGATGGGGGCTAATTGTATCATAAAGATGGGGGCCTTGGCAGTATATCACTGCGTGATATACGGCACTACCAACGCCAACCTCCCTGCTGTTTTATCCACTCCAAACTGTAATCGCGCGCAGCAGAGTCGTTTCCAACTATTTCCAGCATTGCCCCGGCTGGCGGTGTGGTCCACCACGTTGGCAACTTTTGAAGGGTTAATTTAGCTCGCTCAGTTTAGACTGTGCATGTCGTAACCTTGTGACTGGTATGCGCGGTGCATACTGAAGTACATGTCTTGCTGTAGTTATAAATCCTATGCACTCCCTCAAATGAAAGCCATTATGGTTTGTATATTGTCGTGCCTCGCACAAAACTGATTGTGACCTTGTACGATTATCGCATAACACCTGTCAGGTCTTTTGGCTTAGTTAGGCGGGTAAATGAGTCGATGGTTGGGTTTTTAAAACACACTTCGCTTTGAAGCGATACCCATTAATGATTTAGAAATGTAAAACCTATTTCAACCCGATCACTTAATTAAATCCTCGATTGCCGGGCCTTCAGTTCTGAAACTCAACTTTTCAAAGCTCAGTCATTTTGCTGCATACTGTGATCATGCAATATCAAAGTATGACACACGGAAAAATGTGGGCCCCCCCCCCGTCAAGTTGGATATCTTGCAGTCAGTGTTACGATATGATTCAGAGATGTACACTAGCATTACATGCACGTGGGAAATCATCAATTACCGGCGTTGGACCTTCATTGGGAAACTGTTTAGCGTTGAGGCGCGAGGTTAACCGCGGCATGAGTTTCGAAGCTATTCCGGGATTTGCACGCGGCTGTGATTCTCTTCCTCTCTAATTTTGCCGCACGTGCGAATTTGAGGTTTCGAGGGGGAAAAAACCCATTCCAGTTTGCAAACGAAGGGTGTTCTCTTAAACTACGGTTGTTTTGGTCCTTTGCTAAGCTGCGGAAGGCTACATTATTGTACAAGTTGTGCAGAGGCTTTTTGTGCGTATAGTTTCCCGACGTCACATATAGAAGTTTTTTTTCCAAGCGTCTGTTTCACAGACCAGTCTACTCCGCCATGCATCCAACAGAAGTGTTTTGCAGGTTGTCGAAGGAATCCATTAATTGGAGCAAAATGAAGTGTCGCTAAATGAACTTTTTTCCCTGGAATACTAGTGGCAGAGATTTTACAAAAATGTTCTCCCCTACTACCTGCTTAACCATGGCCACTTTGACAAAGGTATTGTAAAAAGTGTAAAAGTACAACATGTGCATGTGCCACCTTCTTAAATTCTCGCGCGAAACCGTTTCCCTGTTTATCGTGAGCTGCCTGGTATACATGCCCTGTATCATACACAACGCCACATTTTCATTTGTGATGGGTTGTACAAAAAAGCTATTTTATTGTTTGTGTTCTGCATGATGAAAGCAGTTTGGTAAAAGTTGCTGTTCAAAATACAAAACGAGCGTGGGTTGGCCGGTCTGGTCTTTTTCTGTACCTCTGTCTCCGCATCAGTTTGTTTTTCTCGTATCCCACAGTTGGTTTCAAACACTGTCGGGGGGGGGGGCTCATTACCATTAGCACCCTGTTCTTATAGTAAGGAAACAAAGTCTACTTTCTCAAACTAACGCTTATTTGTCACTTATTTGTGGATCACAGGTCTCTTCGGAGAGGTCATGTACACTGCCGTTTTTACTCAAAAATTTCCCTCAAAAACCAAAAGCACTGTTCTCTTTTCTCTCTAATATGAAAGAGGACATCACCAACAACTTGTTTAGATAAGTTGTTTCGAAAAAGTAAAATTTGTTCCCTTATAATAGGAACAAGGTGCTAAGGTAATGAACCCCACTGTCGGTACCAAAAGAAAATTGGTATCAGTTTGTTGATGTTCCCTCAGCCTAAAATGACTTGCTCTGAGCATAAAACCTGAAGGGAAAGTTCTGTATCCGGCTACCACTTGTCTTCCTTAATATGCCGTGAAAACTACCTCAAAGTGTAGCCTAAATCTGATACAGATTTGGAGGGAATCAATTTCATTTTTTTAATATAAACTTTTCTGTCATGGCCCATAAACTTTGTGCACAAGGTTTGAGGTGGTGACCAAATATGGAACTCTTTCTAGAAGAGTTCCACATACTTACATCACTTGACACCCTGTGCACATATCCTATGAGCCTTGTCTGAAAATTCTGTTTTCCAAGTAAATGATTCAATATTTTCACTGCTAAATCTGACTTTTGAGGGCATGTTGTCACTTCCCAATGGCTTATAAACCACTACAAGGGAAAATAAAGGATGTGAAATTCTCACCCTCTTTCCAAATGGATGCCTAAAGGTAAAAATGCACATGAAACCAGATTTTGGAAACAGCTGCAAATGTCTGCATTTGGAAATGACCTTAAAGATATGCTCAAAATCAGACCACAGTTATTTGTCCTGTCGCCAAGAAAAAAAGAAACCTCTAACTGTAGGTCCTGCTATCTAAATGTATTATCTTTCTGCTCTTTGATGCAGGCATACGTGGCTTGTTGGATTTGTCATACTACCTTACATTTGTTTACTCAGTGCTGCAATAAGAACAACAGTAGCTCCTCAAAATGGTTCTTCCTCTTCAGGTAAGAAAAAAATTGGATTCTCGCAAGTTTGAACCCATTTTTTCTCTCGTTATCACAAGCAGCCTCTTTAGTCTTAAATATAATGTTGACAGAAAAGTTATTATACTTGTCTTTTACAGATTTGGATACGGGTAATCAACAGCTGCTAACTGATGGAAATGGCAGCCCATTGAATCCAAATGCATCTCTCCGCTCCAACCATTCAGTTCCAAAACAATCCAGTGTTTCCCACACTTTGTCAAACAGAACTGCAAAGCATGCTCTACCTGATAGAACTTCCCAACAAAAGGCACTTGTGTGGGAGGACAAAGGCAATTTTGAGGAACCAACGACGTCATGGCAGTACCCCAGGGAAAATTCTCAAATGAGGACACAAATCCCCACTGTTAGTACACCAGTATTAACAAATTCTGACGAGAGCACAGATGTTGGACAAGTTTTGGATTCACGATTGCCAGAGGATACTGACTCATTTCTCCCTGTGCCTGAGGCAGTTTCAGGGATAAAGGATACTGAAGACAGTCCTTCAGAGGAGAGCACTCGTACAATCTTCCGAACGGCGACAAGCTCACCTTTCCCTCTGCCCATACCAGCCCCGGAATTTACAAATACAGATCACACCTTGAACAGTTCTGCGGCAACTGAATCTCAGGATGTACATGTAAATAATACCTTAAAGTATGTAAAAGTCGCCGGCACCCTCTCGTCAAGCGGGGATGATGCTGACTTTATACCGTGGAGTCACGAATTTGAAGAAACGACCAGCCATCGGTCACCACCACCGCTAACGACAAGTTTCACTCAGTTGACTGTGACAGAAGAGCTGTCAGAGTTGTTGGCTGTTGCTCAACAAGCCTGGGCACAGCTCCCTGCCGAAGTTATGGATACTGAGTTGGGCGAATTTTTAAAAATGTACAGTACCTTTCCTCATATTGAACTGGAATCTGGCCCAGTCAGGATATGGGTGAGTATCCCTGCATTTCCGTGGTTTATTGACAAGAAAAAACACCCCAAAATTAATGTGAAGAATACAAAGGATCTGGGATTGAATACTCTTTCTGACAGAAAATTGATATTACACAACCTTCTTGCTTAGTTGAAGCCTCTTTTTGGTAATGACATATTTCCAATATGGCAGCCTTTACAGTCATCTTCAAATGCCCATGTGTCTCTGCTTGCCGTTCTAGATATGACTGAGATATGTTATTGCCACCGTTGGTAAAATGGCACGTGCAGTTCAGAAGTGTGGCAGTCCACATTTTCCTGTATACAATAATATCTGATCCTTCACATTTGTCACAAATCACATTATTTTTTCTTGGATGGGACATTCCAACATGCACTTGTCACAGTGACCACATTTCCCTCTGTACACGTATGTACTGGTAAAGGAGCAGTGGTCACTGTGGAGCAATTATCTTCTCCCAGGTAACCCAGTGGGTGTTAAATGGGTACCAGCTAGTGTCTCAAATCAGAAATTTCGGAGGTTGGTGCCTTGGAGGATGATATGGGCCTCCTGAGGTTCTAGTTATTGGCATTTCTGGCATCAGCATTTAATAATGGACATTGTAAGATGGGTACCCATTTTGGGCATTTATGTGACGAATGGGGAGTTTTTTCCACCGCACTATTTCTCTGCAAACGGCAGTGTAACTGTGATGTGTGGAATAAAATAAATCAAAAAGTAATCAGGGAGGATTTCTTTTCAAGAGTGTTGTTTTGAAGTTTGCCTCTGAAGCCAAGATTAGTGCACTGTGTGGCCACATCCGAATCTTTTCAAGAGCTGGGCATTTGTGTCATGCAGTACATGCGTTGCTGAATGCCCCCCCCCCTCTTTGTGGCAATGCCTTAAAGTGAAGAAAAATTAACCCAAGTGTTTGCCTTTTTATTTTGGACATTTGGGTAGGTACTGTGAATCCTCGTACTCGTACCTGTCATAATTCTTGTACTTCGTTTGTTTGTCATTGCATGGTACTGTGCACTTTCAGTATAACGGTGAGGAGTAGAAAGTTGAAGTATTTTACAGAAATAGGCAAGACAGTAAAATTTACTGGGTGACTTGTTAAGCACAAAATCTATTCAGAATGTAAGATTTCTCATTCAAGTCCCCGTCACCCAATTTTTAATGAGAAGTTCCGCACAGCTGAGAAGTACAATGGGTGCTTTCATATGTGGTAAAATAGCGCAGTTGCGAGTCCTTTGAGGATTTACTACGTCTCTGGCAGTTAGGTCTCTGGCAGTCTTGTTGTTGTGAGCCCTTAATACCCTAAGGAACACCCAACATCAGATTTGCTGTACCTGCCAAATCCATACTGACTCAGGTGGCAGTGTACCTGCTAGCAAATGGTCTTAAAACATCTAGTCAACTTTCAAAACAAATATTAGCAGAGCCTGGTGTGTTATCATTCATTTTCCCTTGTGACAAGCGTAAGCCTGGGGCAAGTGTTTCTACATGAACTCTGACAACCTGTTGCTGCCAAGCTATTTTCTTAACAATAGCTGTGGTAATGTGAGCTGTACATGTATATTTCAGGATTGATTGGATTCAGGAAGTCCACCTCCATGGTGTGAACTGTGGAGTCCATAGTAGTTGAACTGCTTGGTAACTTTCACGGTCCATTATGCATCCTGAAGTATATGTTGCTTAATTTTAAAATAAGTAATGGAAAAGTGCAAAATTTTGAGTATTTGCAGTGACCGTCCAGCTTAGTACATGTACCTCTACTTGTGGAAGACAAATGGATTTTTGATACTCTTCTTTAATGATGATAATTTAGAAATTTCTTCTTGTAAAACTCTAGTTTAAAGAATAGGGAAAAGCCGAGAGTCCAGAGTCCTCTCCCCAAAGAATACATCTATGCCTGATAACAGGCCAAATGAGATTCCAATATTGAGCTTTTCCAAGTTGAGGATTTTGTAGATCTCTCCAGTCTGGCACATTTCACACTTGATGGGGGTCAGTTGGAGGCAAGAAGTGTGACATTTGACCAGACAAGGTCACAGAGTCTGGCAAAGAAAGTGACCAGATGACAAGTTGACCTATTCCTTGAAGGTATCACCACTGTACTGTCTGACTACTCCCATGCAGTCACAACTAAATGAGGTCTTTGACCCGAAAAGCCACTTCATTTTAGTTTTTGCTGATGGAACACTGGCAGTAAGAAATGTACACACAGCCACAGGCTGTGAGACAAATCGCCTTTCTTGCAATTCCAAGAGTAAACATGTACAGCCTTCGATCCTCTCGGGATCCTCAGTGAACCTCAGATCCTTAATGTAGACATTTTGTGACCCCTACTAAATTTAGCTTATATCGCCTAAGAGCAACAGTACTTGAATTTTGTGAGAGATATCCCTGTGGCCCTTGGCAAACCTGTATGATAGCTTGTGTACTGATGACCCTTTTTGGCACCCCTCCTTGGCACCCAATTAATATTGCTTATCTTTACCTTCTCTCCTGCACAGCTTATAACAGCTTTCCAATTACTCTTTTTTTCTCTGCAGCGTCTAAAAGGGCCCCCAGGCCCACCCGGACCCCCTGGCAGACCCGGTTTGAGGGTGAGTGGCAGGTGACTGAACCCCAGGTTTTGACCTCTGTCCTTTGCATGTATAACCCCAGTCCCAGCTGGGGTGAGGTATTTAGAGCAGTGCAGTGTTCTACTGGGCTGTTCGGCCTTTAGGGAATTCAGTCAGCTGGATTTTTTTTAACCTGCTAGGGAATGGTAACCCCATGTGGAATATGTTCTTGTTGGAGGTAATTGGTCTTTTGTTATGTGCTTGGGATCATAAGAAGGTTCTCAACAACTGAAATGGGCTGGGTTAGGGGAAGATTTCAGAGAAATTAATAGATCGTACATCCGGACGACTCTCTTTAATTTCTTCCATACCTTTTACTGAGACCAAAGCAGAACTCCTTGATAATTCCTGTTTCAAAGCACCACTTCTATGAGAACTATTTCATTTACGAATAGCCAAAATGCTCATGATGGGAAAACAGTTGCTGCTCTAGCCTTCCTCATCTTCAAGTTGAATTTGTAGAATCACTTTTTTTTTCCCCCTAGGGACCTCCAGGAAAAAAGGGCCTAAGAGGACCACCAGGGGAAAAGGGAGAGCAGGTCAGATAATTCTAAATTTCTCAATACCATTTTATTAATACCCATTTGCACTTGAATTGCATTGTTTGTATTACTCAATGAAGCCATATAATTGTGTAGTCAGGGTTGCCGCTGCTTGGAAAAGTCATGAAAAAGTCATGGAAATGTGTTCTCATTTTCCAAGCCTGGAAAAGTCCTGAAATTTTGTAAAAATGACTAAGGTCATGGAATTTTGCAAACACTGTGAAATTTCTATTTTCAGAAATAAGTGCATAAAATTCAACTGTTAAGTCTGAATTTTCTAAGAAATTGCAATATTTGGTCGTGGATTTTTATAATTTGGTCATGGAAAAGTCATGGAATTAAATCGCCCTTTAGGTGCAGGAACCCTACAGGTGCAGTTGTAGGGTGTTGTAGAGGGAGTTGATGGGATAAGGTACACCATGTGTTGTCACCGTGAAGTTTCGTCACACTCTTTTGTTCAGATGAGACATGAAAAAGAACCGCATATTTCTTCCTTCTGCAAACAGAGATAGAGCAAAATGAAGCTTTGACGTGTCAGCATACAGTAACTGTCATAAAGCACCAAAGGTTTGGGGTTGTTAGGTGGCTATCTTGAGAATGTAGCAGTTACAGAGTTTATAAGAATCACATGGTGAAAAGAAGATTATTTTACCGTCAAGGTACATAATGGGAAGTCTCATTCATGGCAGTCATTTTAAGTCATGGGGTAGTGGTAAAACCAATGGTGGTGGAATGATTTTTATGAGCGGGGGACCAAGCCCAGGCCATTAGACTGAAAAGAATACAATTATGAAGTTGTTATCTATCTCCAACAGCTGGTAGGCCTTTAAATGGGGGGGGGGGAAAATAACTACCTTTTCAAAGATGGGGGCAGTGTCCCCCCCTCCAGTGCCGGTAGGTAAAACAAATTAAGTCTAACTTAAGTTGAAAAACATTTCAATTTTTTTTATCTCTACTGAAAAACGGTAGAAAAAATACACATTTAAAAGTTGCGTCCATTAGCAAGCAATAATTCATTCTGGTTGTAGAGATATATAGTGTGCTTCAATGCCTCGCAACTTTCCAATAACGTGAGGTAGCGTGACGGACGTCGCGTATATCTGCAGTCAATTTTGACACTGCTACATTGAAATAACAGAGTGACTGATTGGTTTGATTCGCTTATTGCAGGGTGTGCCGGGTTCACAGGGTAGCATAGGGCAGCGAGGACCGCGAGGACTGCAGGTGAGTAATATGCACTTGTTTGCTTCTGGTGTAATGTGGGAAAAAAAATTGAACTTGTGACCAGATGGAAGCCACTTTCAGCCCAGATGGATCACTTTGATTGACAAGTGGGTTTGAGCTTTGTGGTTTTACCAATCAAATTTACAGTTGGCTTTTTGACCATTTAAAAATGGCAGTCTCCTCACAATGAACTATTATTAGACTCTTTAAGTTTAAGCGTGCATAATAAATTGAAATTTCTTAATCGTCATGGCATTCACTCCTTGCCTGATCAAGACTGTGAGCTTTTTGCCAAGTCGTGATATCCGCTCCGAGCAATGCGACAGACTCATTCTCATGTCGTGGAAGTCTGGTGCAGAGAACATTCAAGTAATGTGCAAATCTCGTCTTCCGGGTCTTGGGATGGGCACGAGATACAAAGGTGCACCAATGACTTCAAGTACACAGCATCGGTGGCTCTCAAGTAACCTTATGGGGGAATAGTTGGTGTGGTAGGCATAGTTGAGGTACCAATGGGCCCCGAGCAAGACCAAGAGATGGCATGGTTTTCCTAGCAATGGAAGCTCCTTTGGTAGGAACTCCACATGGCTGGTTCACAAAATGCTTTGAAATTTGTGCGTTGCAGTCGTGTCACTGCCAGCAAACTGAACATTCCTCACCAGCATGGCTGTTTTCAACCAACGAGGTGGTGCCTCCACTCAAGGCAATTAGCAAACAGCCATTGCTCCTCACAGAAGTTAACAGCTGCCCTTGAAAAATCACTTCAAGGTTCTGCAGTTTGCATTGCCTTTGGTGTGTGAGCTTGCTTGCCAGACCCCCCCCCAGTGTTTTGGTTCTGTCTCAGTGGTGTTTATTTTCTAGTTCAGTGTAGGCTAGAGCAAGGTCCCTCAGAAACAGCTTCTAGGTTGCATACCTTCTGTCAACTTGTATATCCTTGTTTTGATAACTTGGGATGAGCTGTTGATAATTGCCCGATGATTGACCTTGGTTTATGGGAGGGGGTTCCCACACTCTTTTCCAAGAGATTATTCAAAACTTTTGTAAACTAGGGAGAAATGGCCAATGTCTGTTAGTTAAGTGGTTGCTTCTCATAGCCTCGTCTTTTATCTAAAGGCTTAAATAGCTCTTTGAAAGAGGACTTTTGTTTTTCCAAAAACCCAATTTCTGAAAAATGAGGGTTTTTTACTAGAAACTTGTAGTGTTGATGAAACAAAAATTCACATTTTGCTATTGTTGTTGATTGTGTTGAACATGGATTCATATTATTTTAGGGTGAAACAGGAAGGTCTGGAAACGTGGGACCTTTTGGGCCAGCTGGAATAAAGGTATTTTAAGCTTTGTTAACTTAAATTGCCTGAGATAAACAAATCTGGATATTGTATTTAATTATGTTTGGAAAACTTTTGCATACTAAATGAAAAAAAAAAACCAGCCTCTTTACACTTTTCAGTTGTTCAAGTAGACTCACCAGAATGTGTCGTTTTAGGAATGACAGACTGGACAAATTTTGGTGCTATTTTTTTATTTACATACCAAAAAGGGGCATTAAGTCGCTTATTTTTGAAGTTAGTTTTACATCGTCCCAAAAAAATGTTCTAGTCGTTTTAAGATAAATGTTTGGTCTTGGTTTCTAAAATGTCAATTTTGGGTCTAAATTAGGGAATGAGAGGTGACTCTGGAAAACATGGCTTCAACCCAGGACAAGGACCAAAGGTAAAGTTCATTCCAAACCCCCACGTCAACTTACACAAGGCAGAAATCACTGCGGACATGTGATCTTCATCTAAATTCATAAAAACAAGCCGTGTGTTGCCCCTTCACGGTCCATTCCCTCATAGCGGAGGTGGTGAGCACAAATGTCTCGCAGGATAAGAAGAATCCGATTGTAAGCAGTCCTACCATATTACACGCAGCAAGACACATTGGGCTCACATCCCGGGATTATTGCTTTGCAAAATGCCTCTTGTCCTCAGCAACTTTGTCGGCTTACAGCTCCAAAAACATGGCCCCAGATTTATATGCTTGATTATTGATCTTGAGCAAATGGGGCAGGTACAAATCCTTGAGCATGAATGCCATTAGTTGCTCTGGCCAGACTCTCAAAGGAAAATTATTAGCTTGTCAGGAAAGTACAACATGTTGAGTCAACAGCCCTGCATCTCTCTTGATTTCATAATTCACTCTCTCAATGAGAGCAGCTTTCCACAGCAAGTCAAACCAACTGAATAAATGCTTGACCTTGAACACTTCTTTTTTCTGTCAGGCTTCTCTTTTTTTCCTTTTCCTGTTTTTACACTGGATTGCAAGTAACAAGACTACAGATGTGCTCTCCGGGATTTGTTACTTCACCTACAATGTCCTGGATCGCTTTCTTTGCCCTTTGACCTCCTCGTCAAGTGGGCCACAGCTGTGTGCCATACTGGTCTGACTCAAGCTACCATTAAAAAGGAAACAAAACTCTGGGAAGGCCTGTGTCTTGCCCCACTGCTTTGTGTAACACTCCCTGGGGGGTTGTTTCATATCAATATTTGCTGTTTGAATATATAACTTAGTTGTCCAAGCAAATACTTCCAATTCTCCCTAGAGGCACACCTCTCCATGGAATTTCCTAAAGGGACACTTTAAATGGCTGATGCGACAGACTGTAGAAAGTAGAACAAATGATAACTTGATTGTTTTGGTCCTTGGTACTTCACAGTGAGGTACTGACCTTTCTGTTTCTATCAACTCATCTGGAGTTTGTGTACAAATCTAGATTTTGAGAAAGAAATGTCCCGGTCAAACCCAACAGTATATAATAAGTACAGTAAACCAGTCTCCGCGGAAGCCTTGACTTTGGCCTGCCTCTTCCCGCGAAGCACCAACCGCAGGCCTACATCCCACACCCCAGCAGGTGGAAAATGAGGTACGGATAGATGGGCCATAATTGGTTGCGTTACTGTACGCCCATTGTAGCCTTGATTAGGGGCCAAACTTACATCTGGTTTGTTTCCTTTGCCCGTAGGGGGACCCAGGATATCCCGGGGAAATGGGAGGAGCAGGCCCACCGGGGGAGAAGGTAACAGTTTTCACTTTTTGTTTCTGTTTTAGTCACAGGATTTGTATTGACTTTGTGAACTCACTGAAGTTCGAGTTGGTCTAATTTGGTGTGGTTGACACAATTCTATTCTCGTAAGTTCATGCCCGCAATTGTTCATGCAAGCAGGATTCAGTATGCATAACATAAGCCCAAATCATTATTTCTCGTGCCTTCGGTCAGTGGACTCACATTTTTATTGTCTTTTGACAGGGTGACACAGGTGGCATAGGCCCCCCGGGACCTCCAGGACCGAATGTAAGTTCCTTTTGTTTCACCAGGGAGTTTTCACATGATATAGTGCCAACTTATCAGTAACATAGAATCAAATGATTGAAAACAAACTTGGCATACCCTGAAACCTGTAGGACTCGATCTTTTGCTGTGAACAATTCTGAGAAATGAAACCATCTACAAATCACAGCCTTTAAAACTAACCATCGCAAAACTGTCATACTGTCAAACATTCATTCAGACTTTCCAGTTGCAGATATAGGATACACCTGATGTGCATCCCCCCCCAAAAAAAGTTTTTAAAGTTCTCTTGTTCTGGTCTTTTTTTTTTCTTTTTTTGGGGGGGTCCTTTGTTTTTAAAGATTCCTTTTACTTTTCATCCCATTTTTTTCATTGTCCGTGGTTTTTCAATTTAACTTAAAAAACAGAAATTAGGGTTAAATTGTGCCCTGCCCGTAATTTTGGGGTTCAGCCCCACTTGATGACCCTCTCTCTCTTGTTAATTCCGGGCATCTCCTCTGCTAAATGCTGGATCTGCAACTGTTGCTGTGTGGATATTGTTGCAAGTTCATTGGAAATACAACATTGTACATTTGAACATGACCAACTCATCCTAGACACCGCTCCAAGTGTAATGCCATCAAACTCTAATTCCCAGTTTCAGACTTGCATCTCCATCCGTCCTTGATGAACACCTCTTGAGAAAAAACATTAACAGCTAATACGGGCAATTCACAATAGTGCGCCACCAAGAGTCTGCAACGTGTTAGCCAATCACAGTACGCGAAATCTGTCGACCCAATGCGCATTCGGAAAGGGTCGACAGATTTTGCGCAATGTGATTGGCTAACGCGTCGCAGACTCTTGGGGGCGCACTATTGTGAATCGCCTGTATTGTAGCACAGATAATACTGCAATCCGTGGTGTCAGTTCCAATTACCTTGAACCTGGAGCATATCATCCTTTAGATGCTGTGTGTGTGAGTTTGTTTCTGCGTTCAATTGGGGACCCAGAACAATAGAGGACATTAAGGTCCCCGATTGACAGACTGTCCCCAATTGACAACTGTGTACAAAACATATGGGTGGTCTTCTAAAAAAGTTAAAGTACAAACAAAAGAGGAACAATAGGGGGTCCCCAGTTGGAGACAAATACACTCTTGGGTGTGTGTGTGAATGATTCAGAAAGAAATGATCATTATTATTTTACAGTTCGTGGCTCCTTGAAGGGTTAAGATGTGAAGGAGAGATGGTGTCCCTGGGCTCACTCAAGTCAAATTTCAATTCGTAACAGAAAATAGCGTGAATATGTGAATCTTATTTGCAACAGCTTTGTCAGGTTTTTTGTGAAATCTTTCTGTGTGCATTTTTGTCTGCACTCAGTTGAATAAGATGTGATTTTTTAAACTCACAAGCCTGGAGTTCACTTAGTTAAAAGAGACTTGCAGAACAGCTGTACCTGATAGTATTAAATCTAAAAATTGCATCATCATGTTTAGAAATGACTCTTGAGGAGCACTGATGTGTGCGCGTTATGCACAGTTTATACTGCACTTAAGTATAATTTTAAAATACCCAGAGATAAGTATTTATTTATGGTGAGCTAATGATCACTTCAGAAACCAATTTGCATATTTTTTCCCAGGGGGAGACGGGACGAGAGGGCCCGCTAGGGGAAAGAGGATTTGAGGGAGTTAGAGTAAGTGTTGCCTTAATTTTGCATTTTGACTGAAATTGATGGTTTCATTTTTATACGCCACGTTACACCTTTGCATTACACTCTGAGTGACAAGAAACAACTTGTGCTGCGGGAGGTCCAGTATTTTCAGTCATTTGTCAGTAACATCAGAACCATGGATTTGACTCTAGTTGTAACTGAGATTGATGAGTTAACCAGTTGGCAGAGCCAGGCAAAATTGAAAAGCAGCACGTCACTCGCTGCTGATGTGCAGCTGTTTAAAAGTCATAACATCTAGAGCAATATGTATCTGTACACTGTTCACCTTCGTCTTTTGAATCTGTTATCAGTGTTGTTACATTTCTTGTTTACTTGTTATTGCAGGGGCCTCCTGGCAAGCCTGGCCCGGCGGGACAACCCGGACCTCAGGTAAGTCTTAACCCTGGCCTGCTTTGCTGGCTTATGCAACAGAGCGTTGTAATCGATGTCTTGGTTGCCGATTGGCTATAAGATCAATCGTCATGCTGCTGTTACCTGCCTCTGGGTTAGATCTCCTTTTCAACGGTAGGCTTCCCTTGCGTGCCCATGTGGCTTTGGCTCATTATATTGGCACCTCTGACGTCTGGCCATCATGCTTGCTGGTTCTCTCACTTTTTTGGCAAATGCTAATCGTACTACATTGCTGCCTGGTTATGGCTTGCCAATTGTTTGCTAGGCTGACCTGTAGATGGCAAGTTTTGTTTTAGATACTTCACTTGAGCTGTGTTTGTTTTGCTTACTTTTACTTGTTGGTTTGCACTTGCACTTCAGTTTCTGACTAATTCTAATACAGTCTTTCCAGCATGTTTCTAATTAGCAGTTTTTATTAAGCATATCTGATAATGAAAGCACAGATTTCTCAAAAGTGCCCCAGGGACTGTAGCTTGTAAGCTAATTCTGAATCTCATTCTCTTAGTACAAAACATGGCAACCCCCGTCTTGTGTAGTTGATTAAAGGTATCCAAATTATTATCTACAAATTCAGGGAGACAAAGGTGTACCAGGCCCAGTGGGATTGCCAGGGGAGGATGGCCCAAAGGTGAGAATTTTGCCATTTTGTGCTTGTTTTGAAACATACAGCAAAAGTTTGAATTATGTGTTTCTATTCTATTCTACACTTGTTCCTGTATTTTTTTTTCTTTCCAAGTAGACGATATCGTTAGTTAACCTGCAGATTTTTTTATCACTTGTAAGCATTGTTTGCATTAAAGAGTATTGTATAAATGTTAAGACGTTTTGCAAAACAAGAGGAAATGTTTCTCCTGTTACTTTTCAGGGCCCTGATGGGGAATCCGGTCCTCAAGGCAGGCGAGGTTTTCCGGTAGGATATAATGTTGATTTTCCTTTGTGTAATATCTAAGAGCCATCTGTACTTATGTTGTGTAAAAACAAGAAAGAGGCGGTGGAGAAAATGACTGATGAGTCAGAGGGGTGGTCCAGTAAGATGAGCCAGTGATTAGAATGAGGAAGGATTTTCTTTGTCTTGTAGGGTTTTCAAGGAACTCGTGGCAACCCGGGTCAGCCTGGAACTGACGGGGCTCCGGTAAGTATTTTATCAACTGCTTTATATCAAAGTTTACAGAGCTGAAAGAAGAGAATGCAGGAGTGGTAGCACAGAGGTCTTGTTTCAGTTGAAAATTGCCTCGTTCAACATCTCTCTTTTGGAAATTTCATTCTGTTCTTCTTTTAATATGCATTCTAGGGAACGAATGGCCGGCCTGGGAGACAGGGCGCACCTGGCGAACCGGTAAGATGTCATATTTCAGCTTTTCTGAAATCCCTTGCGTCACCTTGATCAGAATAATATCTTGCTGGACTTGTTTGTTGCCAGAGTACTGCTGTCTGAGGTAGAATGCATGAGATTTGTAAGCTGTGCAATTCGTCTCTTATCTTGCTTCTTCTGTATTTTGTCATGATAAATATATATTGTCACACTGTCTGTCTTGAATACTGTTTTCTGAATTGGCCTGGAATAATCATGTGACAGGGCGACATGACCACATCACAGTAATCATTAGTCATGAGATCAGCTAGCGTTCTATGCTACCCCACACACGTGCACATAAACGCCCATGCATAGAAGAACCTCCGCAGTGTACAGGATAAAGCAAGGACTTCTCAACTGCTAATGTTCGAAGATTCCTCTGTTGCCCTTAATTTCCCTTATAAGACAGAGATACGACAAAACTATTGTTGACTACTGTCATGTAGGATATGACATTTTGAATGCCCTTGCAGACAAATACCATCCCTCACTTCTCAGCAGTCAACAAGTGTCAAGTGTATACTTTTTCTTGTTCACCTAGGGATCAGCAGGGCCCCCAGGTCCCAAAGGCGAGCCCGGTTCACAAGGACTAATAGTAAGTAGGATTCAAGGTGATCCGGTTGTCATCATTGAGTTCCATTCTTGGGCATGGGGTGAAGCTTCGCTATTAAACCCAAAGCCATGCCACATCATGTACATATCCTCCCGTGCCCTAGTCATGGGCACCACACACCGATTGAACGATAGTTATCACTGTGGGCACACACTGCAAGTCCCCACAGTCTCATTGATAAGTTTCCGGTAGTCATGGAAAATCCTGGAAAAAAGTTATCCTGGAAAGTCTTGGAAAAGTCATAGTCCTGAAATCTTGTTGTCTGAGAAAAATCATGGAAAAGTCCTGGAAAATAAAGTCGTACAAGGGTTATTTTTCATGTGCCACTTTTGATGTGATAACGAAATAATGATGAATTTACAGACTGCCCTTGGCTGTCTATAGCAGTGGCCGTGGCATTTGTCTAGTTCATAATGCCAAACAACTTTTCTCTGCAAAATGACACTAAATATCATGAAAATTGTCCTACTTAGTTTTGGAAATGTCATGCAATTTCTGTTTTCCAATTTTTGTGGAAACCCCGTCTTCGTAAAGATTGTTCCCTCTACACGGTGCAGATTCAGGCGTGATTGTGTGTGTGTATATATCAGAGACACCATGGAGGGTTTATAGGTAAATTTGCAAGACTGTAGTGTCTTTGTGTGGTTGCCGGTTGAGGCACAAGTGGCACCCAGCCTCTGTGTTGCCTCTGGGAAGAAGATGCTTGTAGGCAAAGCATAAGGGCTTCTCAGCACAGTGCACACCTGAGCTTTTACCTCGACGTGGCCACTTTTTAACTAATAGCAAGATTCAGTCAACGCACTTGCTAATGTTACTTTGGAGTTATCTGTTCTTTGCCGTTAATGTACAGAGCCACACAAACGCCCTCTGAAGCTTCGGGAAACAAGCTCATTACTTTATTTATATTTAGAATGAAATTAAAAATGAGTTCGTTTCTGAAACAAACTCATTATTCAACACTAATGTTTAAGGATTTGACGTTGGACGCAGCTCAGAATATTTTTCAGTCAATGGCACTTTGGTTGACTAAATGGGACTCATTTTTAAAACCTGTGCTGTGGCATTAAGAAGGATGCCTGAACATCCTTGCACCTTTCCCCTCCCCCCCAAGAAAAAGAGACGAGAGAAACATATGGAGATACTTGCAGCACGATGTTGCCACATGGACCTTGATATTCATTACGTGCAGTTACGTGCTTCGAGGAGTGAGTAACATCGCTGTTATTTTTTGTTCTCTTTCTGGAATTTATTCACAGGGCTTGCCAGGAGACCCTGGACTCCCTGGGCCAAAAGGTGAAAAGGTGACACATGCTTTCATCAATTATCTTCTCTTTTTTTCCTTTTTTTCTGATTTTTCAAAATTTCTTTCCCAGACATAGGCAAGATGTAATTTATTTGTTACATATGTTTTCCAAATTTCATTTCTAAGAAGCAGATCTGCAAACAGACTTCCTACCCATGCACCATCGGTTTGGCAGCCGTGTTTTTTGAAGTTTCTTGAAAAGGATACAAGAAGTCCATTACACAGCAATGTGCTAAACACATCAAAAGTTCTGCTCGGTACTTAACTAATGTCTCCTCATCAAAGTTGGTGGAAAATCCCATACAGCACCATTGCTTTTCCCCCCTTTTTTTCTTTTCCTGATTGCATAATAAAAGTCCTTTTTCTGATCACATCTGTCAGGGTAGTCGTGGCAACAGAGGTTTGCAGGGGGAACAGGGCGATCCAGGAACAAAGGTATTTTCTCAAGTTCACAACATGCCCTGCGTATTAGCCTCTTCATTTACTTTCTAGATGGAATTCTGAATCCCCTCTCAAAATTGTTCCTCAAAATTAGTTTGATACTGATCTTTTCTGTAAGGACTCATGGACTTTACCTTTTTCTCCTTTTGCAAGGGAAACACTTGACTTTTGTCAAGGAATTTAACTTGGGAATGATATGGAAATGAAAGAGAAATGTTGTGCTGGTGAAGTTGCTAGTAAAATATAAGAAGTAGGAGTCTCAAATTTCATTAAAAGTTAATATAACTTTTCTTTCCTTTTTTTCGTGTACTTTATGTCAGTTATCAAGTGGCTACTGTGGTTAAAACATGCAGACAATGAAATGTCTTCATGAAATGTTTACCGATGAAATGTTTTGCCATGGAAATGGTTTTACAAAGAGTCTATGTGTGGTTTTGTGTGATTGTTTCAAATTGGGAAAGGGGGCAGAGGTAATTGGCTACTGGTGACAACGTTGTTTTTTGTTCCTTTGTTTTCTCGTTATGTGACAGGGAGAACCCGGGGAGCCAGGCTTGAGGGGAGAGACTGGCGACACTGGTCCAATGGTAATACAGACAGGGGTCTTTGCTCCGTTGAAAGTATCAAAAATAGCACTTGATGGAGTAAGAGTTTGAGAAATAACTTTGGTATTTGAAGGCCCTTCTAATACGAAAAGGGATAATTCTTACGGCTTTTTTAATATTGAACCTTTTTTTTAACTTTTTTTTTGAAACCAGGGATCAGTAGGTGATAAAGGACCCACTGGAATCAGGGGAGATGTTGGCCGAAGGGTAAGTATCACATGGGTAACTTTGAACTTATATGTGACAAAAATGCCACCCCTTCTGAGCAGGTGACAAAGGAGTTATTGTGGTTATGCACTTTTTTTGTCTTCAAATTTTGCTTTCTTGCGCAGGGTGCTATCGGGGAGCAAGGCAGCCCAGGTCGTGGGGGCATGAATGGATTGAAGGTAAAGCTGGATCTGTTTCATGTGGCTACGCTATTCTCTGTTAAGCACCAATAGCAAAAACTGGAAGCCACCAGCCTAAGACATTTGATTTGGGCACAGTCTAAATTTATTTTAAACATGCCTATCCAATGAAGCTTGGAAGAGAGCCTCAAAAAAGTTCCCCTACTCTGTGATCTCTTCAGTACTGTCGCATTAGGTGTCCACTTTCAAGAAGGTGGGGAAATTGAGAAGTTTTCATTCATATACAGTGAGAAGTTTTCATTCATATACAGTGTGGATGTAACGATTGGAACGATCCCAAGAAATTGAAATAAGAAACATGAATTGGGTTTCTTAAAAGGAAAGACTGCTGTTTCAGGAAAAGGTATATGTTAATTACACAAAGGTATTGACCGATTCATCTATCTGTTCTTGGAACATCTGGGTATTTTTTATGATCTGTCATAATCAGAGCATGACTTTAATGTCATACCTGTTCTGATTTTGACTTCTTTGCAGGGACCCCCTGGCCGTGCTGGTGCAGCTGGTGAGACAGGACCTAAAGGTGCAATGGTAAGTGCTCACTTTAAGCTTTAATCTTGAGCAGTCTGCTCATGGTATCTCAGTACAATTCCTGCGTAGATGCCTAAAGACCACTGGAGATAAAATTTACGAGTTTGCCAAGAGAAGTTACCTCAGTGTGCACACAAGTGACGTGTTTTGTTTGAAGGTCTGTGCTCGAACAAGACTTTTTTTTTACCAAATACCGATCTCCCTTGAGGAAACGAAACTGCCTCATATTCATTTGTGCATCTGGCATGGAAGAGATTTATCCGCCTGATACTGGCCTCAGCATCAGGTGCACGTCACCCCACACTCAGTCTCTGTCATCAGTGAGGGTGAACTCTGTGCATGGAGCAGATGCCTCACAGAATGATTAAAGTAATCATGTTTCCCATTGTTCGGATAATGCGATGACATAACATACATTATTGTGCCATTGTTAGTGAAGGATGACCCTCAGTGGCAAGAAAGAATCCTTGCACTTTTCTTTGCCTGCCTGTCCATGCCTAACCTGGATCTAATATACCCGTACATGTTCAAAGTCTGGCTACCAAACTTGATTAACACTGACAAAACACCCATCCTCCAAACATTGAAATGTAGTCCACAGTACCTGTTCTCCATTTCATCGTCTCTTGGCACTTTAAAATTATACACCAAGGTTTTTGTCCTCATCGGCACCCAAGACATCCCCGGAGTACAAGTGTGTACTCAGAAGTATGCAGGCTGAGGAGGTGAACTGTGTGAAAGTATGTGACGTGAAAAGCTCACATGGATATGGCGTATTGGATGTCATGTTCAAAGTTGTCATTTTATGTTATTTCCTTCCAGGGCGATCAGGGTCCACCGGGGCCGACTGGCAGAATAGGAAAGCCAGTAAGTCTGATAATTTCCATGTGTCATCAGATTTTGCACATGATGGTAATTCTAAGGGTCTGTATGCAATGCATTTTTTTACAACTACCTTTGGAAATGCACCTTAGTGTTTCTTATTTTCGGTTTTTTGGTTTGCTGTTTTAAAAGGTATTTTGATGGAGGGGTATGGAAATACAAATTTTCATATTCATAAGCAAAACAGTTTCACTTTTCAATGCACTTAATCCCACAAGAATGTCGAATTAATTTCAGACATTGAAGAAAAGGCATGAAGTTTCATAAGAAGTGTCTCTAAGAAAGTAAGAAATCTTAGACCTTGTCCGAAACAGTGCATCCCCGTGTATTTTCAGTGGGTGCAGACCTAGACCTTGCTTTAGGCTACAGATTCGGATGCAGCCAGTAGTGGATTCTTTCAAGTACCCGGTCCAATTTTGTGGAGGTGCCAAAGACAGCAAATAGTTGATGAGCACAGTCAGGTTACTGGGCAAGATGTCGAGCAATACCTGTTATTTATGACTACTCTCAGCAATTTTTTTTTCCTGTAACACATCAATACAATAAACGCTGAATTTATTTTTTTCAGCAAATGATTAGACCGCATCCTATTGATAAGCTCTTACGAAAGGATTTTGACCGCGGATCATTTTTTTAAAAATCATATTACTTGCTTGCAGGGTAGACCTGGAAAGCGTGGTAGGAATGGCAGAAGAGGGAAACCTGGTCCACAGGTGAGTGCACTGTGGTAAATTGAAATTGTCCATGCTTTATCATTCAACGATAACACTTGTGTTTTTTCCATATTATGTCAAACAGAGTAGCACTTGTCCAGCATTTTCATAATTCCTGCAGTCAGTTGATTCCAGGACTAGTGAAAACAAAAGTCAAGTTTCAAACTCTTTGTTCAATATTTTCAAGTCAGCGGTATTCCTGGAAAAACAGCAGAAGCTCCAGTCCACGATTGGAAGTTCTTCTTGTCCTGGTTATCCTGTTTATAAAAAGACCAGTGTATTATGATGTCAGTTTTTGGTTATGAATTTTTACTCCTTTGATAAAATTAGGACTTGTTTTGTCACATGAGGTTGCTAAAATGACCTTCCTGTCTCTGCTGAGTCTGAATTTTTCAATCTTTGAATGTAGAGTTGTCGCGATCCCACTTTTGTTACTTATTTTATTTTTTTTCATCCTCGGACAGGGTCCTTCGGGCAGCATTGGACTACCTGGCCTTCCAGGTGAGACGGTATGTTGAAATAGATTTTTTTTTTCCTTCTCAGTTACTGTGCCCCCATTTTATTTTTTACTTCCTGAAGCTCCACGCGCCTTCCATTCAGAAACTTTCCTTCCATCATTTGGCGACCAGGGCTGAGTGCTGACAGATGCATATTTGTAAGTTACCTTCACTTGCCCTTTTCCCCCGACAGGGCACTGCCGGACCACCAGGCTTGAAGGGCCCATTGGGACAGCAGGGAGTTCAGGTAAGATGAAGGCTGGGCCCTAAATGGACTTTCAGCCATGGCTACGTTTGTTGTCAGCACGCACTTGCCCGTATACCTTGTTATCGGCTGAGACATAGTTCTAGGCAAGATTTTGGATGTGACTGCAGATTCATGATTCTGTACCATTTTGTTTTTGTGCATTCCTGTACATGTACTAACATATTCACACAGCAATGGGTAACAAACCAACAGTGTCCTGCCGTTTCTTGGTGATTTTGTTTTTGGTTTCTTGTTGAATTTGTTTTTGGATTTGTTTTGTTTGTTTTTGTTTA